TCGATTTGGTGGGTAATTAATAATATTTTCGGGGGAATCGAAAAATATAAATACAGGAATTTAAGAAGATCAAGGTTCAGTTGTTAGTTCATTCCAGTTCAGTTTTAAGTCTACAGTACCTAATGAGTCAGTCCTGATAAAATTCGCGAGAGTTTCTTTTATTTTTGCCTCGGGAAAACGAGTTTAATCGAATGTTTGAAAAAGTACGGAAAATTGTTAAAGCAAAGACCATTTAAATTCGTTTAACATTATGTGCGAGCTCTAGCTGATTTTTGAAGTAAATTAATTAAGTATTTTACCAAGTGACAATTTAAATGTAAGTACTCTAGTGACTATTATTGTTTTTTTAACTTTATAAATGATTCGGAATGATAAGAAGTGAATTGACATTGAAACTTTAATGCATAAAAACTTGAGTGATATTTCACTGTAAAAACTTTATTGCATAACTTTAATTGCCTTCGAGTATAATGACATTTTAATTAATTTTGCAAAGAATTAACAAAGAAAAATTATAATGCTCTTAACAATATTCGATTTTGAGTAGGGATTATTAAAGAATGTTAAGTTGGATTGTCCAAATTGAAGTTTAAGGGCTATAGTAACGAAGTAATAAGAATTAAATAATTGTGTTTGTTGGCTAGGAATCCGAGTATAATAATTATTCTGTTCAAAATGATCCTTAGTGAAGGATGGGAACCACTAAAAGTAAAAGAATAAATCCTTAAAAGTATGGGAAAATTTTGTGTTCATAAAGTACCTACCATTGATGACCTTAAGTGCTGAAATTTTGAATTGGGTTTTTTTCCTTCATTTAGAAATTATTGTAAGGTTTTTATAAAAATATAGTTGGTAAAACATATATACTTAATCCAGTGAGTCGGATTATGACTTAAATAATTATTTTGCATAAGCAGTCAGTAAATGACCTAGGAGTTTTAAGAATTTATAGATATAGGTGAAGGGTAGTTTTAATAGGAATGTGAATCGGAAGTGTTGTAATGTATAAACTTATAAGTTATTAAGAAAAGAACAAGTAGGCCGTTTTTTTTTTTGTATGGATATTTCCTGGTCCGTTGCAATGAAATTTGAACGGATGTGAAATAATTGAATTGGGAAAAATAGAAGTGTCTGTCAGACATAAAAAAATATTTGTTTATTTTAATTTAAGTATAATAAAATATAAGTTAGTAAACCTCAATAGTTTGTTTCTCTCTTTTGCGAATAGACCCCCTCCACAATTTTATAGGTAGCCGCTCAAGGAAATAAACATCATCAATATACCGCTCGCCATTTACCATCTAACTAATTAAATAGACTACTTGAGTGCGTTTTGCTACAATATCAATATATTTGGTTTCAGAACTCTTCATGTTCTTGTCAGGCCTGCAGTTTCATCAGACTTAGAAGTACAAGCATCCATGTCTAAGAAGACAGGGCTGGAACTCTGTAACGGATAGATATCGTTATCCCTATCGCTATGACACTTGCTGTCTTGTTCTCTCTTGTTGAAATCAATAGAGAGGAGATGTCAATAGAGAAAAAATATCTCTATTCCTTACAGAGTCCCAGCCCAGATATCCTACTAGATAAAGGAGAGGCACAACAATCTACATCCAGGCAATCAAACGAGACATCCGATGCGTATCTATCTATTGATCAAACCATAGATGAGGTAATATCCAGGTTTTGTATTCTCGCAAATGAAAGTGATAAAGAGTTTTTCCAAAATAATATACAGTGGCTTCCTCCTACTGGTCAGCACTTGAAAACTTTTGATTTTGATTTGCCATCTGTAGGAATTACGAATGGGATTTGTGAGAATTACATAAATAAATCACCATACGGTTTTTTGAAAATCTTTTTATGCGACGAGGTTTTAGATCTAATAGTTCTGGAAACCAACAGATACGCCGATTGCACTGCTGGAAAGAAACAAATAAGCAAGATATTGCCATTTTTCTGGGGATAGTGTTGTATATAGGTCTCAAAAAGCTACAGAGGATGACAGATTATTGGTCAAAAAACCCATTGGTATAGCGACCAGGTATCATCCCGAATGTCAAAAAATCGTTTTGAACTGCTCCTCTGAATGCTGCATTTCAACAATAATGAAAACATTGTTGTCACCGACCGACTAGGAAAACTTAAGCCCCTCTTGAATATTTTGACCAGTAAATATAAAGAAATATACATTCCTGAAAAATCGGTCTGTATAGATAAAACACCCGTCCCGTTCAAAGGAAGGCTTAGACAATATATCAAAAATAAGCGATTTAAGTTTAGGATCAAACTCTATAAATTGTATTGCAAAGATGGTTATACCTACGACATACGGGTTTATTGTGGAAAAGATAGGAACACTTGCCACAATTTCTACTGTAATGTCGCTTATGACACCGCTGTTGGATCGTGGAAGAATTTTCTACACTGATAACTATTACACTAGCGTTGCCTTGGCACATGAGCTTCAAAACCGGAAGACTCACCTAGTGGGTACACTCAGAAAGAACAGAAAAAATTATCCCAAAAACTAAAAAAATGAAAAATTTGCGCAAAGGAAAGTGATACAGTAGTGATTATCTTGAAATGGCATGACAAGCGTGATGTTTTATGTCTTAGTAAAACTCATACAAACCAAATGACAAAGTACCAAAAAGGAGGAAAGGAAAGGAAAAACCCACCCCAATATAGATATAATTACAGTGCCAGTAAATCATTTATCGATCTTTCTGATCAACTAAAATCCTATTGCTCATCTTTGCGTAAGGATATCAAATGGTACCGGAAATTGGCTTTTGAGATACTACTCGGCACTTCTGTGGTAAATTCTAACAATATTTAAAATGTCAATAACTGAATTCAGAGAAAATCTTCCTGCAAGTTTATTGAACATAGAAACAAATTAAACAGAACGACCAATAGACGAAAATCCAAGCCATGTTCTTGAAGACGTTCAATCCAAGGATCGTAGAAAATGTGTGGCCTGTTACGAAAGACTAAATTCTGAACAAGGCAGAAAAGTAGCTCAAGCCAAAGCATCAAAGTCAAGATTTCCTGGCATACAATGTAATTTTTTTTATTGTCTGTCCTGTTTTTTTTGAATCCCACAAATATATAGATTCTAGATTCTCATCTATAAAAAAAAATGTTTATACATTATTTTGGTCCATTAGAAATAAATATTTTGTTCTTGTAATCCATACCTTTTCTTACAACCAATAAAAAGTGGTTCTACGAAAAAAAAACTGAAAAATTCCTAGGCTCATACATTAGAAGGGCCATCTTAGAAAAACCCATATATTGCAATGTAATTTGAAGCCCAAGAGTCGGCTGATTGTCTATATTTTGCACCCACACTTATCTCACCTATTTGAAGAGATACCCAGAAATGTCAAATGTGAAAGTGCGCGTACCAGGTGATTGTCTATATTTTGCACCCACACCAAGAGATACCCAGAAATGTCAAACGTGAAAGTTGTAGGCAATATCAGAAAGTTTTCAATGATGTTATTTACAAATATACAGGGTATGTCACAAAAGTGTGGCAAGGCAAAGTTATACTTTTTAAATGGAAAACCCTGTATATTATTGTCCCATTGGATTAGCTTTTCAAACCTGATTCCAAATATACTAGGTTTTTTAGGTTTATTCCTAATAGTCCAGGAGAAAATAGGACAAAATGGGTGGAATAATTGCATTTTTATTGAAAAAGGTGAAGTATAGAGACCACCAGCAAAATATAAAGGTAATCATTCATATAAAAAATCCATATTATTTCTCCAAAATGGGATATTCAGAGGTTGGAATATGATGAATAAACCTAAAAAACCTAGTATATTTGGTATCAGGTTTGAAAGGCTAATTCAATGGAACAATAATATAGGTTTTCCATTTAAAAAAGTATAACTTTGCTTCGCCACACTTTTGTGATACACCCTGTATACTTATAACTAACATCATTGAAAACTTTCTGATATTGCCTACAACTTTCACATTTGACATTTCTGGGTATCTCTTGGTGTGGGTGCAAAATATAGATAATCACCCGGTACGCGCATGGTGACACCCTAAATACAGGTTTCAGAACCTGTGGGCTGGGACTCTGTAATGGATAAAGATAATTTCTCTATCTCCTCTCTATTGATTTTGAAAAGAGAGAAAAAGACAGCGAGTGCCATAGCGATAGGGATAACGATGTCTATGTTACAAAGTCCCAGGGTTGACTACTAGCTCTGAAACCCAAATGTAAAGTGTCATGACGATTGTGTTAATAAAACCCAACATTCGATCAGCCCTGCCAATTACCACTCCAAAATGCTTGGTGAACATTAACCTAGTATCTAGATAGACACCTTTAAGATGACAGAAACTTCAGACAAGCGAACATCACCTAAGCAATACTGAAAAGGAACCTTACAGGTGAGTACTGAGTCTTATACAACAACACTTATCAATGTTGAAGAGAGCAACAATCCTAAATCATTGATAAGTAAGGTTAATAGAAGGGGGACCAAGTGAAAGCCCTGGGGTACCCCAGAGAATGCATGGAAAAGAGAAGAAAGATATTATGGTTTACCTTATCAAAGGCTTCACTGAAGTCAGTATACAGTGTGTCCCGCTTAAGGACTTCTAAAAAATTCACTCTTTTTTTTGTCTTTTGTTTACTCGAATTTGGCACTTATTTGGCTCATATTTTGATTTCTGCTGCTGTATTAGTGTACAGGGTGTCCACATTTATAGGCTCAAATTTCAATAAGTACTATTAGGGATTTTTTTAGAAAAAATCTGACAGCAGATTCTTGTTTAGAATGGTCTAAAATCAAAGTGTACAAATTTTTGTAAAAATTATTTAATTAAAAATGCATTGGAGTTTGGAGTTGGAGTTTTATTAGAGTATAGTCACTTACTCAATAGATTTCCTGGGAATAAATCCAAAAAGATAATTAAATCATCCTGAAAAATGATCAAAATCGTTCCCTACGTCCTTTTTTACATACCTGGAGGCATACCGAGATGTGGAGGTCTCATCAGCGGACCCCCTATGAGCGGACCCCGAAGCATTCCCATAGAAGGTCCAGCCATGACAGGCGCACCAGCTACCACTGTGAGTGGATGGCCAGCTGAAACCAATTTTCTTGTTCAAAAATCACGAAAAATTTAGAAAAAACTTAACATCAGGATCTTTAATGCAAAAAAACAAAAAAAAAAAAATTAAAAAGAAAAAATCAACTGACTTACTGCTGCCTCCTTTATTTTCACAGTGTAGTGTGCACAGTAATGGACCAAACAAACGGTTGGGACACAAAAAAAATTAACCGAGAATAGATAAAATCGATAGAAAAATAAAAATGCTAACAACTAAAGCATGCTAAATTGCAATAACCATGCGCTGATGCCTAATTTTTAGTTACAGATCCCAGCAAAAAAAAATAAGTAAAAAAAAAATAATGCTTACCTGACACTCTCACAGGAAAAGCATGAGCTGCTGATGCAGCCGCAGCCATCCTACCCATCATGGCCATGTGTTGGTGTTGGGCCTCTTGTGCCTTTGCTTGTATAGCTGCAACTTGTTGCTGATTGGCTACAGCCGCTTGTTGTGCAGCAGAAACTGCTATTGACAACTAATCAAATTTATAAATTCATCAGTGGGAAGATTTCTAAAAAAAAAACTTACTTCTGACGCATGTGCACTACTGGAACTCGAGCCTCTTTCGTCGTTTTTTTGCCACGAGCCTTTGGAATATTTCGGATGTCTGGCTCTGATTTCTTCCAAGGAAACATCTTCTATGGGGTGCAAAATTTTACTTGAAGCGCCTGTAGCTGCTATCGTGTTTATTTTAGATAAATCCACGTTGCCTCCAGGTGTGTTTGTGGTGGGCGGTGCACTAATTGTTGCACCTGGAATAATTTATAGAACAAATGGAATATCATTATATGAATATTATGAGTTTAATGTATTAGAATCATCTCTCAGATGAGACAAAACCTCTACGTGAACTTTTAAAACATAAAAATACTTTTCAGTTTAATGATATTATCCATCAACAGTATTTTAATAAATTAAAAATACTTGTCACAAGTGCACCAGTTTTGAAGGCTTATGATGTTAGTAAAGAAACAAGAAATCTCGCAGGCTCGAGTTCTTTCAAAATTGGTGGCTGTTTAGAACAATTACAACCAGATGGGAGATGGGCTCCTGTTATTTATTGTTTAAAAAGTTTGAGGAAACACAACAACACTATACCCAAATTGAAAAGGAAGCATATGCTATTGTATGGGTATGTGAAAGACTGGAAGAGTACCTAATAGGTAAATCATTTACTATACAAACTGATCATTTACCACTTTTGAGTATCCTAAAGAAGAAATCTATAAATGATTTCAGTGTAATATTGCAACGATTTAGACTTAGATTAACTAAATTTACAGTTGAGATTGAACATGTCGCTGGAAAAAAATTCTATGTACCAGATACATCATCAAGACAGCCACTGAAACAGATAGATAATGGAAAAGATATATTGGAACAAGAAGTTGAATGCTATGTAAATGTTATAAGGAGAGAAACTGAAGATAACTTGAAGTTAACACACCAAATGGTTGAAAAAGCACAGCAAGAAGAGTTTCAAAAACTTAATGAATATCTAATGCAGGGATGGCCAGTAGCATCACAAGTAACAGAGACATGTCAAAAAAATTTCAAGTATCGTAATGAAATTACATATTATGGCAGTTTGTTGTATTACAAAGACAGGCTTATTACTCCTTCATCTATGTACAGAGAAACTTTAAATCAAATTCATATTGGACATCAAGACATAAATAATTGCAAATCTACAACAAAACATACTGTATGGTGGCCCAATATTGATAATTATATCATAGAAACAGTACAACATTGCCATGAATGTTTGAAGAACCAGAATCAGGTAACAGATCCTATGATACTTCGAAAATTGCCAGACTTACCATTCTAGCATGTATCAGCAGATTTATTCCAGTACAGAAATCAAGTCTAGTCATACAGGATGTGTACTCAAAATATCCAGAAGTTATTACACTAAAGAAAACTAAAAGCGAAGACATTATTGAAAAATTGAGAGAAATCTTTGGGCGTTATGGAATTCCAGAGATATTATACTCAGACGATGGACCACAATTTGATAGTTACAGTTTCAGGAAGTTTACAAAAACTTACAACTTCAACCCCATTAAAAGTAGCCCCAGGTTTCAACAAATTGATGGTTCGGCAGAGAGTTTTACAGTTAGTGAAAAAACTGTTATAAAAGAGTGAAGATCCCCTTTTGGGAATATTAGCATACCGCAATTCACCACTTTCATGTGGAAACTCTCCTGCAGAACAACTATTTGAAAGAAAACTTAGAGAAATTTTACCTACCACAAAGAAAAACCTAAAACCAAAACTGGTTGACCATGAATAAATTAGGGAGAAGCAGAGAGAGGAACCAGAAGAAGCGAAGAAAAATTATGACTGTAGACATAAGTCAAACATTTTACCAAAATTGAATGATAATGTAATGAACTAGTTTACATAAAAGATGTGAAATACTCGGTGAAATACAGGGTGTATCAGGTATGAGTACAAATATTTTAACATCAGATAATATGGCCCATTTCAAGCTAAAAGTGTCCTATTGACCATGGGTCAATTGTTAGTATTTTCAGAGTTATCGCAGAATTTAAATTTTAAAAAAAATGTCAACAACGTGACAACATTGTACAGGTATTATCTCTGCCAGAATATAAATGTAAATAAAACTGGTAAATTTGAAACTTTTTTTTTGCAAGGCATTTATTTATTTCCATCTGTTTACGTTTTGGTTTGTTATTGGCTTTCAAATAATGTAAAATAATAACTCGCATTTTTATCAGTTTTTATATTGAAAATAAAAAATGTGCCGTTTTATTAAGTTGTGAATTGCACTCAATGATATTTTTGCACTAAACATTCAAGAGAAAAATCAAATACTTACTCAGCTACTTGTCAAATCCTTATTATGAAAATATTAATTTTTGTTAAAAGGTTCTCAAAACACTAAAATCATCACGCAGATTTTGCACAGTCACAACTCACACGTCCTGCTCACACGTCCTGTATCACGCAATCTTTGTAAAACAGGCACAATGTTCTTTCATCAGGTGGGTGCTTTTCTTTTGGGAAATCTTTCCCTAGTTTTCTTGTAAATTCTGGCGGCTAAATGAGCATTTTGCAACGTTTCTGCCCAAACAAGTATCTGCCTATTCGATGTTTTTAAACATTTCATTTTATTTTCAAAAAGAATAAATTACGCACGTTTCCCAACTAGACAAAACAAATCAACAATCAATTTATTCAGCTCCACCAAGATTCAACCTTCAACCACCTATTCTTTATTGTGCTGTGTTGCCAGGTATTTAGATACCCTTTTACAAGTGAAATTTGTATGTTGTTTTTTAATTTTTTGTTATTGTTGTTGACTAAAAATGCATAATTACTTAATAATTGAATAAACTAAATTTTTCTACATCTCATAATGATTTAAATTTTCTTTGCCTTTTAAATATCCGTTGGTAATGTACTACCTACATATTTTGAAATATTTTTTCAAAATTAAAAGTACAGGAGATGTATGATAATATGTTCACGTTACGTCACCTTCTGAATGACAGGTCACCACATAAAGCTCAGTGTTGAAAATTATAAACACGCTGAAATTACGCTTGCAAAAATGGCGACCGTTTGCAAAACATGTATGGTTTTAACACAAATTCAACATAGCGTTCAGCAGAATAATCGCGAACCGTTTACCAACGTTTGTATCTGGTGAACGCGGCCAAAGATAGGGGGAGTTTGACAGGCGTATCTAATGTAACATATAGGAAGAACAGATTCTTTGGCCTCTGGAATCAACTCCCAGCTGAAACACTTAGTGCTACTTCAGTGTCAGTACTCAAGACAACATTTGATAGTCATAGTGCTGAAACCAAAACAAACAGTTCTAAAATATTTGATTTTCTTGAAGTAACAGTGCAAAAATGGGCTCATAGGTCTCACCTCAGCCCATATCCACTAGATAGTAATATGTAGTAATATTAAATACTTGAAGCAGTTGAAGCAAGAGGTATAACAATTCTTTCGAAGACAATTCTCTATGCAACGTATGCAACACAGGGACTGGTAATGAGGTTAACCAAATTTAACAACTAAGAAAACAGTGTCAACTCAAATTTAAATTTACCATACATAAGTATACAAGCCAAGCCTAAGCCAAACACATTATTAGTTTCAAGATATTCTTATGCATTTATGTGTGGAATTGTTTACTTATATTTTTAATCCAAATTTCAATATTTACATTAGTTGATTTTGATAAGCTATCATCTGTATAGTTATTGATGTACACAATTTTTTGAAGAGATAAGTGGAAAATTATCTGGAAAGCTTTCATCTCTGACTGAGAATGTGCAAAAGAAATCAAGGGAAGTATTAAGGAATGGAGGTGTAAAGTAGTGAACATTATTCCCCAATCTGATAAAGTCAAATGAACTTATGATAAGGAAGTTTTACAGGATAATTCCCTCCTCAGATATTACACGCTTTATTCCAAAACATGATCTTCATCAACTTGAAAATATTTTCTTAGCACAAACAAATCAAAATCAAATTTTAATGTACAGGGTGATCCAGTATAAAGTGAACACCCCTTACCTTTTCGCAAAAAATTTTTTTTTTGAAAAAATCAAGAGAGCCATTTGGTGTATTTTGTTTTTAGGAGTTTGAAAACGTTTTTCGAAATTTAATTATAGTAGAAGATCCGAATAGGAAAGGATCTGCACCCATCTGTTTATTGGGTGAAAATTATTTTATATCAAAGTTAGTATGTTAAAAAATATATCAGGTGTGGGTTGGCTAAAAAATTCCTGGCCAGACTATTATTAATAAATAATTCAAAAATTATAATTGTCAAAGGCATTGCACTCATTTGTTTAACGAACAAATTTCATACTAATCGAAAGTATAGGGCCTAAAGAATATAGAAACGTTGGGGTGTCTATTTTTTTCCTGGCATAACTATTGGGTTGACAGGTTTGAACAGGTGAGTCGATACTAGTAATTTACACCCATCTGTTTAATGTATAAATCATACACCACTCTGTCGCATATTTCCATCCGCACCAAAATTTCGCTTTTCAAAGCTCGCCAACCGTCATTCAGGCCAGATTTTTCGCCGACAACCCTATATCATCGTGTTCGCAATAAAATTACTTTTTTTTTATGTAAGATTTATTCATTAAACAGATGGGTGTGAATTACTAGTATCGACTCACCTGTTCAAACCTGCCAACCCGATAGTTATGCCAGGAAAAAAAATAGACAACCCAACGTTTATATATTTTTGATTTATGTTAATGACCTGTTCGAGCTACCAGTTAAATGTAAGTTCACTGGCTTTGCTGATGACATCGCACCTCTTTGGTTTCATAGAGACCCGAATGTTTTGAAGGAGATTATCTCAGACAACTAACATCAAATTAAGAAATGGTGTGATGCAATTTTTTTCTGTTTTAATGTAGAAAAAACAAAAGTTGTTAGCTTTAAATTTTCATTAAATAATTTAGACATGGCAAATCAGGCGATTGGCTCTATTGAAAGCACCAAGTTTCTCGGATTACATATAGATACGAACTTAAAATTTAACCAGCACATCTTGAACGTGAATACCAAGATAGCAATGGGAGGTTTTGCAGTACGACAAACCTTCTGTGGGCTAGGAACATCAATGGCCAAAATCACATATTATGCTCTGGTTGAATCCCACTTGCGATATGGAATTGCCTTTTGGGGTAATTGCAGCCAGTACTTGTGGAATTCGGTTTTCATTTCTCAGAAACGTTGTGTAAGACATGTATGTGGAGCAGACCCGAGAGAACACTGTAAACCATTGTTTAAAAGAGAAAAAATATTAACTCTTACAAGTCTTTATATACTCGAAACAGTCTGCCTTATCCATAAAAAATATAAAGATTCTACACACATGCATCCCTATTCAACAAGACATTTTAATAATATTCCAGTACCAACACCTAAATTCACTCTCACACAAAATTCCCTGATATATAAGAGCATTAAGGTTTATAATAAGTTACCTTATGATTTTAAAAACCTTAACAGTTATAAAGCATTTAGAAATAAAGTTAAATACATGTTGTTAGAGAGAGCCTATTATGATCTAGAAGAATATTTTGGCGATGCACTATAATCATAATTTTACATTTTTTATATTTTTTACTTCCTTTTAACCTGATTTATTGTGTTGTCGTTGTATTAGGATTAAGATTTTTAATTTTTTGTTTTTAGCGTTTTTTATCTGTGGTTGTGCTCATTATCAAAGATTATTTTGTCATTATGAATGTTGTTATTGTGATATTTTGTGATTTTAAGTACAATCTAGCTTTAAGTATTGCTTTGTCAATGAAACTCTTATGTTATTTTCTGACAATAAAGCTTATTTTGATTTGATTTGATATTCTTTGGGCCCTATACTTTCGATTAGTATGGAATTTGTTTAAAAAAATTACTTTAGTCGTCACAGCGCTTTACCAAAAGATCTAATTAAATTTTGAAAAACGTTTCCAAATTCCTAGAAACAAAATACACCAGATGGCTATCTTGATTTTTTCGAAAAAAAAAAATTTTGCGAAAAGGTAGGGGGTGTTCACTTTATACTGCATCACCCTGTTCAAACCAAATCTATTACTCACCTGACGAAATAGGTTTGAAATCAGCACCAACAATTGCTGCTCCAGGAGATGAAGAAGGCACTGCACTGGGAAACAAAGGTTTAGGTGGGCCAGGTTGTCCTTGCATCATCATGTGGGGAGGCATCATATGAGGCATTCTAACAATAACAAAAATTTGAAAAAAAACAATCAAAAATTTTCATCTAACTTACCCAGGATGATGCATAAAAGGTGGTCCACCCATATGTCCCATAGTATGCATCATATGGTGCATACCAGGAGGCATCCCATGCGAAATCATTTGAGGCATCATTTGATTCATTTGAGGCATCGCCACTGGAATGCCAGGCGGTGCATTGCCAAGTAAACCTTCTGGTTTCGGCCTTTTGCTAGCAGGTTCATCTTCGTCTGAAGATTCTCCTTTGCTGTTTTGTTTTTGTCTTTCGTGTTCTTTAAGATCTGCTGCTGGAATACCTAATTTGAAGAAACATTGTTAATAATAGAACAAAAAGTGTGTTGTAAGAATAATGCCCTAAACCTACCTCTTACATAATACAAAAGTTGAGGGTTATAGAACATTTTGATTTTTCACACTCTAAAACGTGTTTTGGCAAGGTTAACCCTGTAAAACTAGAACACAACTACGAAATAAGTTTCTAGTGTTTATCATCAAGCTAGTTCTAATAATAGAGCAACTTGGTTTACTTACCCTCCATTCCGTATATTTCTATATCAACATTGGATCTGTTGGGTAACGAATTGGGAACTTTATCTATAGTTTCCTTATGGACTTGCATACAATGTATCGACAATCCAGGACCAGTGTAAAGTTTCTTGTGGCAAATATGGCATTTAAAATGTTTGGCCTTTTGGTGTTGTATAAGGATTTTTTCGTCATCGAATTCCCTATTGCAGTACCTATATTTGGTTAAGGAAATGAATTCGGCTAAAAATAGATTAGGCAAAGAGTTTAAAATTAGCCTGCGAGGTATGAATTCATTAAAATTCAACTCGATAAGTAGGACACAACATAAGAGTTGAAAAAAAAAAAAAGGATACCAGCACCAGGGTTTCGATTGCTTCTTCTTCTTACGCCCCATTTTATTGATTTAATTTAAAAATATATCACAGAAATATACAAACTTGTAATATTTACACTTATTATAAAATAATTTATCACAAAACACACTTTCTGGACTGTTATCAAAATGGCTGCTCTTGAAGGCGCGACAATCGATTTAGCATTTGGGACTGGACAATGGCATCAACTAGATGGCGTTACAGTGACTCTATTACCCACAGTGGCGACAATTGCTGTCTTATTTTTGATTGGTTCTAAAATCCCATATATTTATATGGGAAACGCGGCCATCTTGTTCCCACCTATTGCTTATTCCAAATATGAATATATGGGATTTGGGTAAACATCCATCATAAACTATGGAAAACAACGTTTTTGATGGTCCTAATAATAGTCATCAAATACGTCGATTTCAATTTTTTATGATAGATGTCTATTTAAATCCTATATATTGATATTTAAGAGTAATAAGCGGTTGGGAACAAAATGGCGGCGGGACCTCTATTGTCGCCACTGTATGTAAGATGGCGCTAGGTGCGCTTACACGAATCTCACTCTAGAGTGCGTTCGAAAATGAGCCAGAATTCATTTTCTGCTTTACTCTACTCTAGGGTGATTTCGAACGCACCCCTAGAGTAAAAATCAAAGGGAGAAGAAGCCAGTGACGAAAAATGCGCAGGGCAGAGGATATTCTAAGGATTTTTTTCCACTCCACAGAGAAGTGGAGCTATATGATGCCGTCAGCATAGGTAGAAGTAATTGAATCTCTTATGGCCATTTCCACCAACTATTTTAGGGAAGCCCTAACGATAGGTATGCCTTAAACTGACATTTCTCTATGTAAAAATGTCATTTTAGGGAATACTTATCGTTAGGTCCCCCCTAAAATAGTTGGTGGAAACGGCCATTATAGCCATTTCCACCAACTATTTTAGGGAACCCCTTACGATAGGTATGCCTTAAACTAACATTTCTCCATGTAAAAATGTCATTTTAGGGAATACTTATCGTTAGGGCTCCCCTAAAATGTTTGGGTGGAAATGGCTATTATAGAATTCCTCTCCGGAAGGTATGAAATGGATACTGTCACTGCTATCAGTGTTAAGAAACTGAAGCTTTCTGAATTCTGAGTTGGTTAACTTTTTATAACCAGTTCTTCGGAACTCCTTAATGCAACTAAAATTTTCGCACGGGTCTTTAATGTTAAATCGAATAGACTTATAGGTATCAGCAATACCTACCTACATTAAAAAGCCTATCTCGAAGTAGCTTGCCAGTAGATTCTGAAAATAAATTGGATCCTCAACAAGCCACTATGGTTTGGTTAAATAAACGTCAGCACAGAGTCTAGGAAACTGCACAGGAGCACAGACGCACAAGCGAAACAACAAAGATCGTACAAAGGTATTTATGAGTTTGGAGATGGTTCTGAGGCAAGAAATTTTAGAATAAATGAAGTATTTATTGATAGTGCTATTGTAGGTATTCTCATAATATAGCATATTATGTCAACTATATTATTTTTAGTTTGCTCTGTTTTAAGTTTTTTATTCATAATAAATGAAAAAATAACTAGGTACACAGATTTTAAATTCCTACTGCAAAATATACTTTTCCTACTGCACATTTTGTGTCCAACTGTACGTTAGAATAACCTCTGGCGCAAGGAAACATTTTTAAAATCTTATCGCTGGCCTTGGCGTCACTGGCGCCGACAGCCACTGTAGCGCTGACTACATGGGGGCATCGGGGCAGGTGCACCCATGAGCAAACGTTTTTTTGTGGGGAATACGAAAGTAAAGCGTGTTTAATGGTCATTCCAACGGTGGTTCAGCTATAGGGTCCATCACACTATCCGGAAACACGAATTTGACATTTTTGAAGCTTTTACATTAAAATAGACAACTCAAATAATAGTTTTATGAAAAAAAAAATGCGGGTTTTTTCATTTTTCTGCAAGAAAATTCAGTTCAAACTGACGGAAATTGACCATTTCATAAATCGAATACGGCATTAAACGAAATAAAAATGCAAGGTGCAATCAACGTTGCCACATTGTGTGATATCTCCTGAGCTTAAATAATAATAAACATAAAAAAAAACCATAGTCATAGTTTCTTAGAGGTTTTATTTATATTTCTTACTAATAAGTTGCATTAACCATTTGTATCTATACATTATAATATAAAAAAGGAAAAGTTAAATTAAGAACCACTAAAACTAAACAAAGCAAACTTCCTTAGGGAACAAAATATGTAATTAATCAACTTAATAATCCTATAAAAAAACCATTTAATATTTTTGTCCAATTTGCAATGTTAAGTTATACATTCATTGGATGGCATTTTTGTCATATATATATATATTGTGGCAAATATTTTGAATGCATAACACCCATAGCTCTGAGATATTTTTCCAAGCCAGATCAATACCCTTCCACCTGGTTGGTACAGACCTCTGTAATGGGATCTTTGAAATATTTGGTATGGTTTACTGTACTGTTCGTTGGACGTAACCATAGTCTACTAATCCAGAATAAGCGCGTCAATTGCCTGTCCATATTTCACTATCGACCCTTACATGTTTTGTTATAATCGGTAAAAGAATCGCAGCGGATCGATTTTTGACATATTGAATATATTCCGTTTTTTCAGTGTTAAATTTTCTTTCAGAAATTACCGATTCATCAATCTGTACCAAATGATTCTCTCCGCCTAAATAGAACAAAAATTATAACAGACCATCCTCTTCTCAACCTTTGACACAGATCAATGAATAATATCAATTCTTATCAGTTTAATATCACTATCGCTCTGTTTTTCGATAATGACACATAAATAAAAGATGAATCAATAGTAAAGTAATTTTTTTCTGGGTCTCGTAAAGAAAAAGATGATCTGATTTTAGAAACTTTTTCAACTTAAAAAAAAAAACATAAAATCAATAATCTTAGTAAATTAAATGACAAATATTTTCCTGTATGAATTTCAGTAAATTTATTTATTCATAAGAATATTTAATGTTTTCCGCATCTAATTGAACATTTTAAAGAGGAACTGAACGGTTTTATGGAGAAAGTATATCGAACTTGTAAGTTTTAGTGTTTCCGTATAGTATGATGGAACCCAGCTATAAGTTCTTGGTACTTGGCTTACCGTTTACTTTGCTTTTTGATTTTGTTTTTCTTCTACTTGTATAGGTATACCTATTTCTTCGACTGTACAGTGTGTCCCATTTTGGTTGTCCATAAGGGATAACTCGGTTGCTATTGGAGTTAGAAGGATGTGGTTTCTGCGAACGTTGGCTACTTTTTTGTCAAACGAAAGAAGGCGCTAACAGAATTATCATCGGTCTTTTTGTTTTTCAGATACAAGGTGTTTTCGAAAAAGTGGCATGTTGGGGGGGGGCGAGATACAAGGGGTGTCGACAACTAAAATGGGACACACTGTACAGTGTGTCCCATTTTGGTTGTATACAGGGTGTATATTTTAAGTGATACCACTATTGCTATATCCGAAACGGTAAGAGCTACAGGGTCGGTTAAATTAGAAAAAAGTTGCCTTGTTTGATGCCCATTTAAGACTCGTTCACAGTGTTGCCAAATTTCTTTTAGTTTATGAAATACAGGGTGATTTCTAAGAAACGTCCAAAAATATTTCATCATTTTATTTCGCAAACTATTGATTTTAGAGACACAATTTAAATTTGAAAGTTTTATAATTTTTTCCGCTCTACAATATGACATCTTCAAATTTTAAATCCGACGTTTCGTGATCGAGACACCATTATCAACTTCATTTTTTTAAATACGGACCTGGATTTTTTATGTCATTTTTAGGAAGCGCCCTTAATTCTCTTTCGAAAAATGACAAAAAATCCAGATCCGTATTTAAAAAAATGAAGTTGATGATAGTATCTCGATCACGAAACGTCGGATTTAAAATTTGAAGATGTCATATTGTAGAGCGAAGAAAATTATAAAACTTTCAAATTTAAATTGTGTCCCGAATATCAATAGTTTTCAAAATAATTGACGAAATAATTTTAGGCCTTTTTTATAAATCGCCCTGTATTTCATAAACTAAAAGGACTTTGGCAACACTGTAAACAAGTCTTAAATGAGCATCAAAAAAGGCAACTTTTTTCTAATTTAACCGACCTTGTAGCTCTTACCGTTTCGGATATAGCCATAGTGGTATCACTTAAAATATACACCCTGTATAGGGTCCCAACTATTTCATAGGGACAGTATTGCTATCTCGGGAACGGTTAAAGTTACGAGGGCGTTTAAATTAGAAAAAAGTTGCCATTTTTGAAGAATATTAAAAATATATTTTCGTTGTTGCCAAATTTCTATTAGTTTCGCAAAAACAGGGTGATGTTTGGAAATTTGCAAAAACAATCAAATATTTTAAAATCTATTGATTTTAGAGACATAGTTCAAATTCAAAAGTATTATATTTTCAACATTCTTCAAAAATGGCAACTTTTCTCCAATTTAAACGCCCTCGTAACTTTTACCGTTCCCAAGATAGCAATCAATGCTGTCCCTATGAAATAGTTGGGATCCTGTAAGGGATATCCAGCTCGGGATTTCGAGAACGTTAGCTACTTTTCTGTTAAACGAAAGATGCCGTCAACAAAATTGTCCTCGCCCAAAGCAAAGCTCTTATGTCACAGAGGGTAACCTGTTGAAAATATTAACTGCCAGAAATTTCGGGCGATTCTGACACCTTCCCAGACGACACTGCGTTGGAATCACATCATTATGATTTCTTGTTTGATGGTCATGAAGGTCGGAGTGGGAAATGAAGTCCGCCTCGTTCATCTTTACATAGTGAATGGACTCAAGAACAAATACTGACGGGAAAGCCAGAATCCCTTCATCACTGAAAGCCAACCTGCAGTCATCCCTATACCTCAATCCAGTAATCACCCTTAGGGTTTCACGCTGAAGTCTGAAAACTCTAGTCGCCAAAGGCGCACTGCCCCAAGAAATACTGCCATATGACATCAGTGAATGAAACAGTGTGTAATAGGCAGTCTTGGATCGAGGGTCTGTTTCGACACACAGCCATACAGGTTACGAAGCAGAAAGATAATGGTACTCAGCCTACCCGACACCCTCTCAACCTGGACATCCCATATCTCAACTTAGGATCCCAGATACTCAGATTCACAAGAATTTCACAGAATTTCACCTCACTTGAATTGGGACTGTTATTTGTATCCCTCAGCGAAAATATCATCTTATGGGTCTTGCTCCGATTCAGCATAAGTCTGTTGGCATTGAACTACAGCCCTATGCACGGGCTCCGTAAATCACCCTGTATAAGAACCCGTTGTTCCCTTTTCGATCACTTATGAGAGAACCGAGATACCCCCTACCATAGCCCCCTACCTATCCAGGCATAAGGGGGGGATAAAATCGAATACAAAAATTAAACGAGGGTTGCTCTAGTGTTGCTCGAATTCAGCGATCGGAAACACTATAGTCTTTGGGCGTGGCATCCGGAAATTTTTTTTCGCCCACGCCCTGCCTCTATAAACAAATTTATAAAGTTATTTATTATTCCTGCGCCCATGAGAACTTTTAAAAGTCGGCGCCGCTGCTTTGGCGTTGTGGCGACACCCCGCCACTGGCTTTTAGTGATGTTAATCTCAAGAGAATGGGAAGAGAGAAAGAGTACCGGCCAGTTTCGCGCAGGTTTGGATCAAGGTTTCTGAAGTTGATAGGTTGTCTGGTAATGGATAACTTGATGACGCATCTGGGGTGCCTTATGAAGATTTGCATAATGTTGAGGCACCCCAGATGACGTCATAAAGTTATCAGGGCTGGGACTCTGTAACGAATAGAGATAGATATTTTCTCTATCTCTATTGGCGTCCCCTCTCTATTGATTTCGAGAAGAGAGAAGACAGCAAGTGCCATAGCGATAGGGATAACGATCTCTACCCGTTACAGAGTTCCAGCCCAGGCAGCCTATCTCTCTCAAACAACCAAGGTTTGGATGTCGTCACTGGCTCCTCCTCTACTACTATTAACTTCTTTTCAATTTTTCCCGCTCAATTTTTGTCTATGCCCGGCTCTTTATTTTGTCCAAATAAAGCATGAATGTCTTCTATTGTAGTATTTTTTTCTCAATTCTTCTACTTTTTTTTTCTAGTTGATTTTCAGTTTTTCCTTCGCAAATTCTATGTATTTCCGGCTCTTGAATTTCCGTTTTCATCTTTGTGAAAATAGAGAGTTCTCGTGCTTCAGACACAACGCTAATACGGTACCGTTAACAATACGGTATTTAACATGGTATTTTATAGTTCTCGGACACATAAATCCTCTAATCCCTTATTCTGTTTACATTTTGACGGCTGAGTTGAGTGATCTAACCTAATTTTTTTTTGTTTGTTTTCTAACTTATTTATCCTGAAGATTTTGAGTTTGATTAATTTTCCCTTGGTGTTTTTTATACAGGAATTATTAGAAGTTGCTGTTCTTGCAGGCTCAAATGGAGCGTAAAATAATCTTGACATAGCATAGCGTTACGGTAAGGTATTTAAGGTATACGCTAAGTCCAGTTATATAGCGGGCTCCGCTAACGCTAATATCGTAAAAACTGTCATTCTTGTCAAATAGCGTTACGGAATTTGAAATTTGGACAGCACGAGAACTCTCTAATATGGACAATTTCCACCCTAGTCTCGGGCACAAATGCGGTACTGGAAGTTGAAGGCAGTATCAATATAAACAGTTTAGGGCACCTAAAAAGACTTGCAAATAACTTTGCAGCGGGTGGTTTCATTGGGTGAACCTAATAATTGCGATTCACCGAAAAACGGGTTTTTGTGAAAATATTAAATAATAAGCACACTTGTGACATCACGAGGTTCTTGCACCTGAAGATGAACCCATAAATTAGGCACTGTTTAAAAGCAAGGCTAAAGTAATAAAATTGTTGGGACCAAAGTGACAAAATTTCATCTGAAAAACATTATTTATGACCGACACGACATTCGGTATCCTTACCTCATCCATAACATAGACGCTGCCTCGCATTTTTTAGAACAAATAATATAGGTATTTCTCAGAAATAGTGGGGCAGAGTTTGGGTCAGCAATTGCTTCAAATGAACATTTATTAAACGTATAATAGAGTTTTATATTAACAAAAATCTACGACCATAAGATTTATCACTGACAAATTGATCACATTTTTCGTTCATTCTTTGGCTTCTCTTGCGACTACAGCAAGATAGCAAAAAGCTCCGCATCTGGGCACAGGTTGGGCGGCCAAAAAGGCGCCTCCATCGGGCGAATTTTCGTAAAGCATGGGCGGTTTGGCACCTTCTTTGGCTTGTTTGTCGCCCCATTCGTCTAGGTTTACTTGCGTTACACCTCCTGGCTAGAAAAATTGTATAAAAAAGGCAACAAAATTGATTTCGAAAATAATAATAATCACGATTCATGTAATCAGGGTAATTGTACTTGAAAACTTTGGAGAATTTGAAGAGGCAGTTTGTTAATTTTTTATACATATGATTGATAAAAATATAATTCTTTTACCAAAAGATGTGCAATATCGGGTAAAGGACTGGCAGGAGGTGGTTCAGTGAAAGGAGGCTGTAATTCGCCTTGCTGTATATTAACAACCAAATAATACATGAAATCGTTTCTCAATTTCATTTCCTCAATAGATCTGTTGCAGGTCGCTAGTTTTTTCATCCAACGCACTGCCTTTTGTCTATCTAAAACAGGAAAATTAAATCTGGAGCCTCTATTACAGGAAGAATTGGTTCAATTGGTACGGTTTACCATCGGGTTTGCCCAGGTTGGGTAACATGGTTTTCGCAACGAACATGTTGTAGTTGCAGTCGTAGTTCAAATCTTCCGCCGTTTCGTTCATTTTGGAAGGTTTTTATTGAAAATTTATACACAAAAAAATTTAGACTTTTTTTTTGACAGTGATTTTGCTGCGAAAATGACTGATTTTGCTGGTAGAGTTGAATGATTACGAGAAATACCTGTTGAAGTGTTTTTTCTTTTCAAAATTATTGTAGGTTTACAACAAGGATGATACACACTACACTACTACTACGGGATAGCCTATTCTCATAAGGCCTGTGTGTAACAAATCCCCCCCTTCCCCCCTAAGCCAAACAACCAGTTGTGACGTAAGCAGCATGGCGTTTCTTGCCTTGACGTAGGCTGTTCAAATAGCTGACGACTTAGTTATGACGTCGGCAATGGTTGAAAATCAATATGGCGGCGCGGCGGTTACTAGAAACGAGGCCGATAAGCACTCCTTAGAGAGTGTATTCTGCTTGGGTTTACAATAACATATTAAATAGGTAGACATTATTACAAGTAAACAAAATGTTGTATCGACCAACATCTAGGAAAACAATCCACCTCCGGTATACGGTATATCCCCTAAAATTTTGGTTGCCAAATGTTACGGACTGGTATCCTAACTTTGCTTGAAAAAATTGGATCTTCGAGACTAAAAACGACTACTGGCAACGCTGGTTTTGCCAAATCGATTGGCGTGTCAACGCGCCCATCGAGCGTATCCCTGCGTTTTTATTCTCATCAAATTTTACCGAAGGATTCACCATTCTATGGCCGTCATTGTCATTTTCCATTCACTAAACAAAGACAGCTAACTCATCGGTGAATAAAGTTACCGATGAGAATAAAATCGAGGGGTATGTATATCATATGAGTTGGAGGCAGATAGATAGATAAACGGGCTGCTCTCGTTCGCACTTCTTCATATTTTAGTCAATTAAGTGATGATGGGTTTAGAGGGAATCGAACTAATCGAAGGCGCATCTTGTTTAAACCTCTGACGCATCCCCACCAAGACCTCCCTTGAGGACCTCAAGGGAGGTCATGGCTTGAGGAACTCACCTTTCCACAAAACCGCATTTCATAACAATAGCAAACATCAGTTTATGAATGAAATGCGGTGTCTATATACAGGGTGTTTCACGAACTTCGCAACAGAGGCGTTTTAGGGTATTTTAGGGTCGATTTGAAAAAAAAAAACGCCCCGACACGTCATTTTTGTATTCAAGGGGGAAAGTTTCTGACTCCATCGGTATTTCACTAGGGAGCACCACCTGGGTGGGGTGAGTTTCACCCCTCTTTTTTAGATAGGGTAGATGGGTCGAGTGGTACCTTGTTTTAATGGTATTTTGATTCTCGTCACAACTGTGTACTTTTATTGAAAATCGAATGATTAGTTCTCAAGATATTTACTGTCAAAGTGGCCATGGGCTAAATTATAGGAAACAATCTTCTGACCCTGTTATTCTCAATAATTAACACCTTCCTGACTTTCCTCTCGGACACGTCAATTTTCTTTTTTTGTGTGCTTCCGAAAAAATGAAAATTGACGTGTCCGAAAGGAAAATCAGAAAAGTGTTAATTTGAGAATTACAGGGCCAGAATATTGTTTCTTATTTTAGCCTATGGCAAATTTGACAGTATAAATAACTTGAGAACTAATCATTTGATTTCCAAACAAAGCACAGAGTTGTGACGATAATCAAAATACCTTTGAAATGAGGTATCACTCGACCCATCTTCCCTATCTAAAAAAGAGGGGTGAAAGTCACCCCGCCCTAGCGAAATACTAATGCATTCAAAAAGTTTTCCCCTTGAATACAAAATTGACGTGTTTGAGCGTTTTTTTAATATCAACCTTTGAATACCCCAAAACGCCTCTGTTTCGATGTTTGTGAAACACCCTGTATATCTGTATTAAGATGTCATTGGTACATTTTAGGCTATGGTCCGAATATAACCAAACGTTAACCAAAGTAACCCAATCGGTTGACAGATGGTTACCTACTGAAAATTCCGGTTACTTAAGGAACACGAATATGAAATAGAAAATAATTGACAGAATTTACAGATAAAACCAACAGAACCAGAACAGAACCGACATCCGATAGCAGGTAATTATTTTGACATTTGGTTAACCAGATTTCAGGAAACCGAGGTCCAAAAGTAACCACTTTTCCAGGAACCAGAATAATTTTATTACTTTTGGACCGCGAAACCACAACCCTGGTTATATTCGGACCACAGCCTTAAAATGATCGCGTCAGACCTGAGTTTAGTACTTACCTGAGTAATCATCGATATCTGATTTGAAATCGCCTAAATAAAAGAAAGCGCTACAATCATTGACAGTTGACAGAACACTGACAAATCATCTGTGTTTTTGTTGTTGTGATTTTTTAGTCCTGTGAATCGAGAATCTAACAAATCTGAGCAAAATTGAGTTGTTTTCTCGTATTCTTCAATAAAAACCTCAACTCTAAAACTTCAAAAACGTCTTCTCCAAATAATAAAAAACTCTTCAAGCCCAAATCAACATAAATTCGACAAAAACAAACAAATTGTTGACGTGTTTATCGGTACTAAACGTCAAATAAATGGTCATATGAGCCACGTTGGAGGTTGTAAACTGCATAACTTCCCTTTATTAAATAATTTCAATAAATGAGGCTTTAAATTTTAAATTAAAGGTAAGAAAGAACCTTGTTTATAATAAAGTATATACAATTTCTTATTTCGCTTGCAGGAAAAGTTCCCCATAGCAAAACCATGAAAGTCAAAGATATAGAAAGAACAGCTAATGTAGCTTGGTCCCCCAAGAACCAGCATCCTATTTATATTGCTGCAGGTACTGCTGCTTCTCAATTGGATGCTTCCTTTAGTACTAATGCTGGTAAGTGTTTATTTTATTATTATCCAATCCAATAAAGCTTGAAGTTAGGTCTGTTTCTGCAGAAATCACAAACCAATCAGAGTGAATTTCATTGGTTGAAACTAGTTTTCTGACTGTTTTCAACCAATGAAATTCATAGAAACAGACCTATTAAAGCCTGGTTTATTTATCTTTAGATAAACTTGCTGGTAACTGTCTGCATTGTTCTATAGGTCTGTTCTCACACTCATCATAAATTAGTCAGATCGTTTTTGATTGGTGCAAGTCGTCAACAATCAGTTTTTTGATTGATGTGAACTTGGCAGCTAAAAGTTCGGTTCACCATGCACTAATGGTACTGGAAGGTATTGACAGTACCAATATACACCGTTTAGGGTACCTAAAAAGACTTGCAAATAACTTTGAGGGTGGTTTAAGGGGATAAAACTAATAATTGATAGTTTATCAGAAGTTGAATAAACCAGCCCTAAGGCTACTAAATTTGTAGGGCTTTTTTACGTTTACTGACAGAAATTTCAACTTCATTTATAATTTTGTACATTTTTCAAAGTTTCAGTTCCTCTCGAGGTTCCTCTTTTGGACTTAAATTTTTGAAAACTCATAACATTTTTTCTATCGTAGATAGAGAGCTAAAATTTCAGCTCATTTGGACTTATGGTTCCAGAAGTAAAATCGTGTTAAGCAATTTAGGATGATTTATCAATTTTTCAATTTTTCTGAGTGCCTTTTTTTTATAGAATTCGGCTCCAAATCTTAGAACAATTTAGTGTATGAAGTTTGGGGGTTCCTGAATGCTCATTCAGATACAAAATCTCAACATAAAAAAAATTGAAATTTTCGCATTTTAGCTACCTTATGATTTAGATTTTTGTGAATTTTAAAAAGTTTATTTTTTTTCTATTAGAGATAGAAAACTGAAATTTTCAGCGATTTTTCTCCCAGTAGAGGACCACAATCCCTGAGAATTTCAACTCATTTGGACTTATAATTCCTGAGAAAAAATCGTGTTAAGTAGTTTGGGGTGAATTTTTGGATTTTTGGCTTTTCTTTCATATACAGGGTGTCCCACGGTGGATGGCATATTAGACATTTATGAAGAACTAAAAAGCGGATCATTTTGAAAATTTGGCAACCGGGATAAACGACCATGATCTACACAAATATTTTTGTTTATGCGGTGTTGCCGCTTCTACTCTAAACCAGTGGCAACATCGCTATTTTAGATGAAATAACCTGTATATGATTGCATATTTGAATTCTACGTAAAATTCTGAACAGATTTCATGTGATATACCCTATACCTAAATTCAACTGTTTTGGAAATATTGACAGTTGACTTTTTGCAACTTTGACAGGCTGTAAAACCTGAACGGCTAATTTTAGAGAAAAACCTATTTCACATTCCTATCTTAGATTTTTGTAAACTATCATTTGACACCAACTTCGAATTTAATCTATGATTAAAAATTCTATCTAATCTCCGGTTAAATTCAAAGTTGGTGTCAAATGATAGTTCATGAAAATTTAAGATAGGAATGTGAAATCGGTTTTTCTCTAAAATTAACCGTTCAGGTTTTACAGCCTGTCAAAATTGCAAAAAGTCAGTTTTCAACTGTCAATATTTTCAAAACAGTTGAATTTAGGTATAGGGTATATCACATGAAATCTGCTCAGAATTTTACGTAGAATCCAAATATGCAATCACATATAGGGTTTTCCATTTCAAATAGCGATGTTGACACTGGTTTAGTAGATGCGGCAACACCGCATAAACAAAAATATTTTCAAAGTGTAGATTATGGTCGCTTATCCCAGTTGCCAAATTTTCAAAATGATCCGCTTTTTAGTTTCTCATAAACGTCTAATACGCCCTGTATTTCGGCTTCAAATTCCACAAGAAATGACTGTACGGCGCTACTGGATTCCCATATGATCGTCTAGAGTCAAAATCTCCACACAAAAAAAAAATAAACTTGACCATGGATCTCCTAAAATAGCGAGTAAAATAGTTTTTGCAGTTTGAATTGAATAACCATGAAAATACATAATTGAACTGTTTTTTACAAGCCTAAGTAACTAGGGCTATTATTATACCTAATTTTTCATTACCTAAGTGCCTTCCTGTGCAAAAAAAAAATTAGGACCATAACAAAATTGTTCAAGATTTAGGTAGGTATACCTACTTATTGAAACATTCTCTCAGCTCTGGAAATCTATTCACTCAATATCAGCGAACCTGGCCCGGATACCCAACTAGCATCATCTGTGTCCAGCGAGCATAGATTTCACAAGCTGATTTGGGGTCCCGCTGGTGGTGACTCTTTAGGAACCATTATTGGAGGTTGCGACGATGGGCTTCTTCAAATTTACAGGTAAACATAATCAGATTTTTTTTTTTGGAAAATTATTAAAATTTCTTCATGAAGCGCTTCCAAGCTTCTCAAAAACGAAAACGCTTTGGTTGGTAAACAACAGAAACACTCCGGACCAGTGCACGCTTTGGATTTTAATAGTTTTCAACAGAATTTATTTGCTACTGGCGCTGGAGAATCTGAAATTTTTATTTGGGACTTGAATAACACCAATACTCCAATGTCACCAGGTAAGAATTTATTTTTAAGTAGGTATGTAAAATTTAGCATAGTTGCATTGAGACAATTCTCAAAAGCTAAACATTTATATTCCGAGAACCTCAGAATACAAATGTTCTGAGCTGAGACAGGGACCTGACTGAAAAAAATTTCCTGAGCTGTTCAGTTACTACATACATTTTCTATTTTCTTGCTTTCCTCATAAGGCACTTTAAGTAAGTACATTGACTGATAAAACCAGTCGTTTCTATTTAGGGGGTCGCTTTCTTGTACAAAATGTAGAATTTGCGTCATTGCTGGAAGTCACATAATTGCATAATGGTGCTCTCTACTTTGTATAACATTAGATTATTGATATTTTTATCACTTTAAAAAACAATTTTCTGACAAAACAAAATTGGCAATGACTGTAGTCTTAATGCACGTTCCGATATTCTTAGTACATGGTAAGAGTGTTCCATTCTGGCTAAAATTAACCTTGAAATAAATTAGGTTCTAAATCCCAGCCCTTGGAAGACGTCCTCTCAGTAGCCTGGAACAAACAAGTCCAGCACATCTTAGCGTCATCCTTTGCGTCAAAATGCGTAATTTGGGACTTAAGAAAAAACGAACCAATCATCAAATTAACAGACACAGTGTCGAGAATCAGATGGAAAATGGTCGCGTGGCACCCTGAGGTTGCCACTCAATTGTGCCTGGCTTCAGAAGAGGACCATTCCCCAGTGATTCAATTGTGGGATCTCAGATTCGCCACTTCACCATTGAAAACTCTTGAAAATCATCAGAGAGGAGTTTTGGCAGTTTCTTGGTGCGAGCACGATTCAGATTTGCTTGTCAGCTGTGGAAAAGACGATAGGATTTTGTGTTGGAACCCAAATTCTAATCAGACTAATGGAGAAGTAAATTTATATCCACTTTGTTTTGACTTAATTAAAAAAAAAATATTTTTAAAGGTTTTATCAGAAATTTGTAAAACCAACCAATGGAGTTTTGATGTAGTTTGGTCTCCAAAAAACCCTGTTTTAATAGCTTGCCCCAACTATGATGGACACGTTTCAGTGTATTCTATAATGGGTGGCAAAACTCAGCAAATACAAACTTCAAATAAAATTGCCGATAGTTTCCCAGGCATGGATGGTTTTGCGCAGGCTCCCACTCAACAACAAAGCCGTGCCACTGTTAGTGTGGATCCCACTAAACCACCAAAATGGTTGAGGAAACCTGCTGGAGCCAGATTTGGGGTAAATATCCCGAAAATCTGATAATTTAAATTTAATTATTATTTTTTTATAGTTTGGTGGCAAGTTGATTTCCTTTGAAAATGACAAAGAAGCGTTTGCTCAAGCTCAGCAAAACGTCCAACCAGGACAAGCTCCGCCCTATGTGAGCAGGACAGTACAAATTAGTCAAGTAATCACAGAGTCTGAGTTTGTTAAAAAATCAAGTGAACTTGAACAGGCTTTGGAGCATGGCAATTTTATTGGTAAGTATTTCTACTACTTGGTACAATAATATTTTAATTATTATATGTTGTAGATTATTGTCTAAATAAATCAGACTCCACAAATAATCAACATAAGAAGTTCATATGGCACTTTCTCAAAGCGAATTTTGAAGCTAATCCCAGAGCTGAGTTATTGAATTTATTAGGGTATAGAATAGAAGATATTAACAATAAACTTGCCCAACACATAGGAACACCTTTATTGCAAAATAAAATTGATGGTCTTACAAATGACTTTGCTAGCAATAGAGTAAGTCAATATAATTTTTTAAATATTTTGTTTGTACATTAAATTTTTTTTAGATAGAAGACTATGACCCTTTCAATGATATTTCCCAGCAAAATGGAGTTGGCAAACCTATGACCCCTTTTAAAATAAAAACCAATGATGGTAATAATGATTAACTGATTTTTAATTAATCCTATATTTGTTTGTTCCATTGTAGATACTGAAGGTTTAATCACTCAAGCCTTATTATTAAACAACGTTGAAGCTGCAGTGGAACTTTGCTTGAAAGCTGAAAGATACGCGGATGCTTTAATTATTGCTACAACAGGTATACATTATGTGAAAATTATTTTTGCAAGGTAAATAATTATTGTTTTCAGGAGGTCCAGATCTTCAAATAAAAACCCAAGAGCAATATTTAAAAAAATCCGAAGGTTACGTTTCAAACTTGATTTCGGCAATGATTTCTGAAGATTGGGGCTCTATAATCAATAACTGTGATATTTCTAGCTGGAAAGAGGCCTTAGCCGCAGCTCTGACACATGCTTCTGAAGAAGACTTGCCGATTTTATGTGGTAAAAAGCATTATCTTTGAATAAATTATTTTTCATTGTGTTTTTCTTTTTTTTAGAGCAGCTTGGATGTAGATTGGAATCTGAAAGTGATATTAACCCAAAATTCTCTGAAGATGCTCAGCTTTGTTATATTTGTTCAGGCAATTTTGATAGACTAGTAACAAGTTGGAGCGATAAGGCCTCAATGTCAACAAAAGACTTACAAGAACTAGTTGAATTGGTTTCATTTTTGCAAAAATCTATTGAAAGGCAAGGCAAAAGAGTACAGGTAAGTTTAGTGGATAACATTAGGTTTTTGTATAAGTATAAAAATTCCAATAGATTTCTGGTGCTTTGGCCGATCTTCTTTCTCGCTATGCTTCCTTGTTAGCAGCTCAAGGTAATTTGGAAACGGCTCTGTCCTATTTGGGATCATCACAAAACGAAAAAGTTGCCTCATTAAGAGATAGATTGTTGACAGCTTTAGGACAAAAACCATTAAATGTTCAGGAAATTCGCCAACAACAGAGTAACAGAAGACGAAGTACTAGAACTTCTTTAGGATATGATAGCAGTACACCTTTTGCTGCTACAAACCCATTTACAGTAATACTATTAAAACTTTTAAATGGATTTTTATTGTAAATGTTAATTTTTCAGCAACAAAATCAATACCATCCTCAACCGACAGCTCCTGTCACTGCCCAACCACCATCAGCCATGTTCACTAGCAATTTTAATACAAATCTACCAAATGCTCCAGTAACCAATCAACCGTGGCAAACACAAGCTGTAGCCGCAACTACAGCCCCTGTAACGAGTCCAGCGTGGCAAGCTCCACCAAAAGTATTTTCGCCTGCACCTCAGCCTTTGCAACCACCTCCTCGTCCAGACAGTGTTGGTTCAGGGCGAGGTGCGTCAGCATTGTCACGTAAACACGTCAGAGATCCTTCTGTGACTAATAATCAATATCCTCCTGTACAAAATCCTTATGCTCCTCAAGCTACATTCGATAACAGTTACAATAGTTCTGCGCCATATGGACAAGGGCCACCACAAATGTTCCAGCCTGCACCCTTAATACCAGCAGTTCAGCAACCTCCCATAGAACAAGCAGAGCCTGCCATAAATTACCAAGCTCAAGCGGCTCCTGGGTGGAACGATCCGCCTGCAATAAGTAGCAGGCCTACCAGACAACAACAGGTAAATTGATTTTACGTTTAAAAACTTTAAATTAATATGGTATTTAATTTTGAAATGAAGTTGTTGGAGGAAAAAATAATGTCACCATTTCATTCAGGAGTGCGGTTATGGAGAAAGGTATCTTGTTTTATTGTTAACCCTGATTTCAGCTTGAATACCATTATTAACGTGTTAATATCATTATTCATTTGAAGTGTATGTAATCATCAAAGGACACATCCAAAATTAGTATTTTTTTTTTAGCCTAAACTAGAACCACCAGCTGCTGAACCTATAACGCACCCAATATTCGGTCAAGCGCAACCAGCAACCAATGGTTATGGCTACGATGCTCCCGCTCCATTTCAACCACCACCCACTCAACCCTATGGCAATTTTAATACACCATTTGCACCTCAAAATGTACCTTATGCCCCTCCAGACAATTACTATGGTGGTCAGAGTGCTCCATATGGTAATCAGAACAGTGCTTATGCTCCAAATAGTGCTCCACCGCCTAGTGGAGGGTTTAATCCCAGCAATTTCAATCAGAATGCTGTTGGTAGCGTGGGAGCTCCTGCTCAAGCTCAGCCATCAAAACCAGAAATGCCGCAACCTGTTCAAAAGCCACCTTTGCCTAGCGAACATGAGATTATTCAAAGAGTTTTCGAGGATTTGAAGGAGAGATGCAGTTGTAGTGCTAATAATCCGGTGAGAAGAGATTTCTTTGAAAAAATTTGTTCTATTTGAAACTGAACATTTATTGATTATTTTTTATGTAGCAAACAAAACGTAAACTAGAAGATGTTGGCCGCAGATTGGAGACACTATATGACATTCTTAGATATGATAAGGTAATGGAAAATGTTCTAGTGAACTCATAAATAAATATATATATTTTTTTTCAGCTATCATCCAATGCTTTATCATCTCTGCATCAGATAGTTCAATTTGTACAAGGAGGAGATTACACCAGCGGGCTGCATTTGCACACCCAATTAGTACAGGGACCTGATTTTGCCCAAATAGCTAGTTTTATGCCCGGCATTAAAGTTCTGATACAGCTGGCCTTGCAATTACAAGTCTATTTAAGCTAAAATAGTATTATTTTTAGTTGCGAGATCTTATAATTTTTAGCCAAAAAACAAGTTTAAATCATAAACAATTTATTTTTTCTTGTTGCTTATAATAACTGTTAAAAACTAAATATAGCTAACAAAAATACATGCATAATTCATACCTATGTACTTCTATTATACCTAAGCCTTAATAATAATTATTGTCCTAGTTATGTTTGTTTGTACTAATTAAAAACAATATATTTTAACTGAAATTGGTGTTATATTAAAAGTTTTTTTTTTTGTTATTTTTTATGGTTTAGTTTATTTTAAGATGTCTTTTTTTCTTAATAAAGAATTAGCTTTTTATTGTTTTATTTATCAGTAATCTTGTTATCATTTACTTTATTCCTTTTATACATCGAGTTACACCGAACGAGCTCCTCGGAGTCACTTAAAAACACAGAATTCAGATTTTTCCATTATTTTTTGATATTAACATTACCGTCATTTGAAAAGAACGTTCAAGCTTTTAACATTGAGCAGCTCCGAGTAACTCGACGGGTAAAAGAAATACAGTAATTGATGGCCTATATTTGCCTCGAATGATAGAACTTAAATTGAATCCAATCCATTTTCTCAAATCTATGAAGTAGTTGGTAGGCAACAGTTCGATGTTTGTATTAATTATAACTATTTGTTCTAAGTTGTAGGTCTCTAATTTCTATTATATCCGTTTTGAGTCTCAATTTCAAAATCTCCCTCCAAATACCTTCTCTGTGAACTGCATCAGTAATGCCCAATCTGAAAAAGTTAAAAAGAAATTTATATAGAATATAATGAAGTGAATTTGAAGCCTGTTAAAGGCATATGGAATGAGGCTTCTAAGTTAAATTTTTGAGAGAAATTTTATGGTTTTTGGAGGATTAAACTTTATAAATCTCTACTACGAATTAACTCCCAGCATGTTTTTAATTTTGGAAGTTTCAAGACGCTGGGACGGATGGTGTGTTCAAGTCAGGCAACCAAGAGCAGATAATGATGAAAAGTTGGACAATAAGGCTTTTGATTGCCTTTAGGAAACCAGTCAAGAGCCAAGAATTATCGCAAATTCAAACTCTTACCAGTTCTTGATCACCTTTATAAAAATTATTCAACGAATCAAGAGCCAGGAAAAATTATTATTTGAACTATCAGGCTCTTATAGTTTGTTGAAAAATTTTTCTATAGGCGATCAGGAGACGGTAATTATCAAATTTTATACCTTCGTACCAAATCTTGATAGCTTCTAGAAATATTCTCTATCAAATCTAGAGTTAAGAAATAACCAAAATTTAATTTATATTCGGCTCTTGGTTCAAGCCAGGCAATCAGGTGATGAAAAAATGGACAATTAGAGGCTCTTTATTTATTTACCTATTTATTTATTTATTTTTTGGTGGCGATACAAGTTAATGTTTACACACGTCAAAAAAAAAGTAATGATAATAAAACATTGCATAGGAATAACTATAATAATAATAAAGTTTATTTACTAAGTTTACAATAGCAAGTTTACAGTGGAAAAAACTTACATCTAGCAAATAAACAATAATCACAGAAGCAGAAATTAATCTGCTTGTACGTGATGTAGCTATCTATTATCTATATTACTTACTTAAACTATACTTACTAAACTAAAAGGAACAATAAATAACATGAATAATAAATAACATTAATTAAGACATGTCACAATTAAAATATTCCTCAAAACTATAGAATGCTTTTTTAATTAAATATTTCCTAATCCTAGTTTTAAACTGCATTGGTGGTAAGTTTCTTACTGCATTAGGAAGTTTGTTAAAAAATTTAATGGCCAGGTACCTAGGGCTGTCCTGACACCTCTTTAGTCTACAATACCCTGACACTAGGTAATTTTGATATCTAGTATCATGTGAATGAACACTACAGTTTGTTACATACAGGTACTCATTTTTCTTGAGATAAAGTAAGCACTTCAGGATATAGACAGATGGCAATGTCATTATACGAAGCTGATGGAAAGCAACCCTGCAGTCATTTTTGTAACACAAACCCTGCATTATTTTAACAGCCTTTCTTTGGAGACCAAAGACTCTCTTAGATTAGGCTGCATGCCCCCATGCGAGAATGGAATAGGTCATAGTGGAATGAAACAGGCTAAAGTATGCTGTTCTTAGAGTATCCAGGGATACAGAACTCGAGAGGCTGCAAAGCATATATAAATATTTTGCTAACCCAGCTGTTACATTATCAATTTGGGCATCCCAAACCAAACCCGGATCAAGCTGGACGCCCAGGAACCTTACCCGCTGAACGATATTGGCAAAACCTACATCTCAGGGAAAAAACCAATCTCTCCGTCTTATTCTGATTTAAAAGTAGCATATTTGATGCAAACCAGGTCTCGACGCTTCTCTCCACCACTGCAGACTCCTTGACGACTTTCTCAAGTGTAGATGCCCTGAGGGATATTGTTGTGTCATCAGCAAAGAGTGTGAACTTAGCATTTGGAGCCATTTAAGGTAAGTCATTTATATATATTAGGAAAATAGACCCCTGTGGGACCCCAACAGTTATGTCGCTCCTGGCCGATTCCACTCCTCCAACTCTCACTGCCTGGGTTCTATCAGACAGGTTCATACCTTTATTGAGTTCATATAAAGTTAGGCGATTATGATCAAAATAGTATGCTTGAATTTCCCTCAGGGGAATGTCATGGGAGACGTAGTCGAAGGCCTTACTAAGGTCGCAAAAAAAAGATGCAGTGTACTCCATCTCATCAAATGACTGCAATACATAGGAAACCAGGTCAACTATGCTCAGAGTGGTATTTCTGTCCTTCCTGAAATCAAACTGATAATCTGTGAAGAGCCTACCATGTTCAGAAAAGTCTGTAATTTGTTTAGCCATGCACTTTTCGAAAACTTTTGACAATGCAGGCAATATAGAAATGGGCCTGTAATTTTCAGGTAGATGTTGATTTCCTTTTTTGTGTATAAGTGTAATTAATGCATGTTTGAGAACTTTAGGAAAAATACTCTCACGAAAGTAACCGTTTATCAGCTTGGTTAAAGGAATAACAATTACATTTATGACAGACTTCAGCAGTCTGGTGCTCAAACCGTACACATCAGTATAGTATTTTTAGTTTTGAGGCTTGAAATTATATCTCTTGCTTCATTGAAAGTGACCTCCCGAAAAGAAAATGGTTGCTCAGGCAAGGAGAGGTCTCTCAAAGCTACCACAGGGTCTTTAGTATATCTTCTATTACATGGTGTGCCATGTTGGCAAAGTAGGCATTAAATTCATTGGGAGATATTTCCCATTGTTCATTATGTTTTGAAGATATATTTCTATGCTTATTGATTAAAGACCACATGCACCTAATTGGATTAGCAGAGGAATTGATAAGATGGTCATTTGAATTTTTCTTAGCCTCTCGAATGGTATTTCTTAAACTCCTGTGAGAATACTGGATGATCACACTGCCTGCTCAAACTACCAAGTTAAGATGCTTACACTTACCCCTCAGGTTATCATTAAACCAGCTGATGTTCCTATTCTGGTCCGATCTTACCCAGCAAGTTTTCTCAGGGAATGACCTCAGGTAGGCCCTCTCGAAAACATTCATCTCGCAAGAGCTCACAAAATCTCATGCCTCTGCAGTCATACACTAAGGAACATAAACATTCCTGACATTGTAATCGGTCTACATACCTTTCTTCCCAGTTCAAAGCCTCTGGGTGAGGTGGCCACATTAAATTCAATCTGTTGACCCAGATGATCATAAATGCTCAGATCAACAACAGAAGCAGGAACAGAACTATCAGAGAAGTTCACAAAGATATTGTCAAGACAAGCCAGTGATCTTGTAGCATCGTTTATTGTTTTTTCAAAGCCAAATCTCTTCAGCATATTACAAAGAATAACCACTATTGATTACATCTATTAATATTCTCTATCCAATCTAGAGCTAGAAATAACAAAATTTGATTATATTCGGCTCTTGGTTCAAGTAAGGGAATAAAGAGCAGGTAATTATGAAAAATTGGACAATCAGAGGTTCTTAATTGCCTTAAGGAAAACAGTTCAGTCAGTCAAGAGCCAAGAATAATCAAAAATTCGAACTCCTACCAGCTCTTGATTACTTACCTAAAAATTATTCAACGAATCAAGAGCCGGAAAAAACTATTATTTGAAATATCACAGGCTCTTAATTCGTTGAAAGTTTTTTCTATAGGCGATCAGGAAACTGGTAATATTCAAATTTTCGACCTTCGTCCAGATCTTGATTGCATCTAGAAATATTCTCTAGCAAATCTAGAGCTAGAAATAACAAAATTTGATTATATTCGGCTCTTAGTTCAAGTCAGGGAATCAAGAGGAGGTAATTATAAAAAATTGGACAATTGGAGGTTCTTCATTGCCTTTAGGAAAACAGTCCAGCTAGTCAAGAGCCAAGAATAATCAAAAATTTAAACTCCTACCAGCTCTTAATCACTTTACCTTTATAAAAATTATTCAACGAATCAAGAACCAGGAAAAATTATTATTTGAACTATCACAGGCTCTTAATTCGTTGAAAATTTTTTCTACTATAGGCGATCAGGATCGGTAATATTCAAATTTTCGACCTTCGTCCAGATCTTGATTGCATCTAGAAATATTCTCTATCAAATTTAAAGTTAGGAATAACCGATAATGATGAAAAGTGGGACAATTAGATGCTCTTGATTGCCTTTAGGAAAACAGTCCAGCCAGTCAAGAGCCAAAAATAATCAGAAATTCAAACACTTACCAGCTCTTGAGGTGTGGAAGTATTTATCACAAGCCTTCAAATGTGTTGTAAGAGAAATTTCGTGATTTTTTCGAGGATTAAACTGGGAATAATATCATAAATCCTTAACCGAGCGTCAAATCAACTTCCATCATGATTCTTCAAAGCTAATTTTAGAAAAGACTGTATGCGTTACTTTTTTTTTACAAATTCAAAAAAGCTTTATTGTCCAAAGTACATAATAAATATAATCCTAGTAGGTATGCTATCAAAGAAGTTTTAAGTATAAAAATCTGACAAAATAAAAAATAAAAAACAGGAACAAAATCCTAAGCTAAAAACGATCACAATAAAATTCGTTCAAACTATAATAATCTGCACCAACCAGCAACCTCTTAACTTCCCTCCTAAAATGTCTCAGGGGTGGGATGGATATCAAATTCCCTGGCAAGTGGTTGTAGATCTTAATGCTTTCATATATGACCCGATTTTTGTAGACAAGTGTGACTGTTTCCAAAATAAACAGACTGTATAAAGTTAGGATTTTCTCTTTCTTAAATAAAGGTCTGCAGTGCTCTCTATTGTTAGCACCACAGATGTACCTAAAAGCCCGCTTCTGTAATATAAAAACAAAGTCCAACAGATTCTGGGAACAGAGCCTCCAAAAGCAGATACCATATCTTAACCTTGACTCAATCAAGGCAAAATAGACCCATCTGGATAAGGAACGTCCCAGTTCAATGGCCATTATTCTGACTGCAAAACACCCAGATGATATTTTTTCTTGAAAGGCTGATAATGTGAGATTTAAAACTCAATTCAGTGTCAATAATAAGTCCCAAAAACTTGGTCTCAGGTTGACATTCGATAGAAATCTTGGGGACGTTGGCGAGTCCTAGATCGCATCTAAATGACAAAATATTTATTTTGGCTAAGTTTAACACCAGAAGATTAGAGTCACACCAATATTTGAGCTGCTGAAGATCTGCGAATTATTTTCCAAAACCACCAATTGAGACGACCCAATGTAAACCTTCTGATGACGATCAGACAAATAGGATTGAAACCATTTGAGTGTCACTGCTCTAAAGCCATAGTGAGAGAGCTTCTGCAACAGGATGTGGTGATTGACGCAATCAAATGCTTTTGATACATCACAAAAAGCTGCCGCAGTTACTCCGCCACTATTAATGCCAGAATAAACACCTTCCAAAAATTGGAAAATCGTATCATCTGTATTGCGATAATCCTGAAAGCCAAATTGAAGAGAACTCAGAACATTGTTTGTATTCAAAAATGAGACCACTCTACTTTTAACCAGCTTTTCTACAATTTTGGATAGATTAGAAAGTAGTGATATGGGCCTAGGAGATCTATTTAAAGGTATGGGCTTGCAACTAAATATGGATGATATAGAGAAATGTCGCAGAATAAATACACAAAAGGAAGAACAACCCATAATAGTGAGATGTAGGAACAAAGAAGTTAAGCAGAAGATTTTCAAACAACGTAAGGTTATAAAGACTATTTATACAAAAGACTGCAAATTTCAGGGAAGAAATAAGCAAATCTATTTAAATGATGATCTTACTAAATATAATCAGGAGCTGTTCAAAGCTGCTCGTGACATAAAAAAAACCAAAAAGCTTCAATCTGCTTATTGTTCATATGGAAAAGTATATATTAAAAAAACTGAATCTAGCTCTCCTGTAAGGCTATTTACAATCGATGATATCAAAAAATTTGAACAAACATTAGGATAAGTAGGTATGTTTTGTGGGTAGCATGGCAATGAAATAGAGTAGGTCGAATTCTCGTTAAGTTTGAATATTTTATTTACAAATATATGTAGTTTAAGAAATAAAGAGGGAGAAATTGAAGCACTACTTAAATCAAAACAAATAGATCCCCATTTGATTGTATTAACTGAAACTTGGCTGTGTGATGCTGAAAAGCAGCTATACAATATTCAAGGGTATAATGTGGAGCACAGTTGTAGGGATTCAAGGGGTGGTGGTACCGGCATTTACATGAAGTCTCATATAGTGTATCAGGTAAAATTGATAAAATCTATTAATGGTTGTGACTGGCTAGTTATTAATATACAAAATCCTAGTATAAAGATTGTGGCTGTATACAAGCCACCATCTATAGATAAAAGGGTGTTTATTAATGATATAAATAATTTTATTTATAATGTGAAACAAGATATGATTATACTTGGAGATATGAATATAAACTTGTTACTTAATGATAATATAAGTCTAGAATATAAAAATATGATTGTTGAGAATGGATTTAAATTTGTAAATAGTAAAGAACCTACGAGAGTGGCTCAAAATAGTCAAACCCTGATAGACCATGTAATATTAAATTTTAAAGATACAGATATTAAATTTGAACTTTTTGATCATTGTATAACAGACCATAGGATTCAATTGATAACTGTGAATAAACATAGGGCGAGGGAAAATCCAGTACAAAGAAGAGTGGTGAGGAGTATCAATGTAAAAAAATTCTGTGAAAGGGTAAAGGAAGAAATAGAAAAAAATACCATTGGAGATTTTGAGTATCTCACTGAAATAATAAGAGACACAAAAAAGGAAGCAACGAGGAATATAGTTATAAAAGATAGAAACAAACATTGGATAAACAATGAATTTTTGAATATGATAAAACAAAGAGATAAAGTATATGTAAGATATAAAAATAATCCTGAAAATCAACATATTGCTGATGAGTTTAAAAAGTTAAAAAACCTCTGTAATTCATTAAGAAACAAATTAAAACATAAATATCTAAAATCAAAATTTCACCAAGCAGAGGGAGATTTGAGAAAAACATGGAAAACTGTAAACCAGATAATAGACAATGATTACTCAGAAAATTATAAAAGTAGAATCAATAGGATAGATTACCTTATGATAGAGAATAGGAGGATTCATGATGATCAAGAAATAGCTAATAAGATGAATGAATACTTTGTAAACATTGGGAATCAAATCGGAAAAAGTGTAGAAGTAGAAAAACAAAAATATTCCAACACACAAATTCTCGAGCAATTTTCTGAACAACATACAGAAAAAACAATTTTCCTCCATCCCACAACACAACTTGAGATAGAAGAGATAATAGGCGAATTAAATAAATATTCACCAGCTGGACCAGACGAAATAAGCTCGTATGACGTAAAAAATTTGAAAAACATCCTTTCACCAACGTTAACTAAGCTAATAAATAACATCCTAGTAAGTGGACAGTTTCCACAGTGCTTAAAATTATCAAAAGTCATACCCATACATAAATCTGGACATCAATATGAACCTGGAAATAAGAGACCAATTACTATAACTGCTACTTTCTCAAAGTAATAACTTTATAAATTCTACTTTCAGATTTGATAGTCAACAATATGGGTTTCAAAAGGAGAGTAATACTCAAGCAGCAGCTGTTGAACTAATAGAATATATTACGAAAGCCCTTGACAATAAAAAATATGCTGTTGCAGCATTTATTGATCTGCAAAAAGCATTTGATACTGTCAATACAGATATTCTATTGAGAAAGCTAGAGGGTATGGGAATGAGAGGGGTAGCATATAATTTGATCAACTCTTATCTTACAAATAGACAGCAATATGTGGAAGTTAATGAAAAAAAAGTAGCATAGAGGAAACCACTATTGGTGTACCGCAAGGATCTGTCCTAGGGCCAATACTCTATCTGCTCTATGTACACAGTTTGAAGAAAGCAAATCTAGGATGTACCTACATTACATTCGCCGACGATACTGTGTTGCTTTTTGAGGGATCCTCTTTGAGTTCACTTGAGGAAAGCGTAAACAATTGTATGAATGTGTATTATGAATGGTTGCTTAAGAATAATCTAAAAATTAATATAAAAAAGACAGAATTCATGGTTTTCAAACAATAAAATAAACATTGCCAAGATATAGATATAAAAATAAATAATATAGCAATAAGAAAAGTACACACATATAAGTATCTTGGACTCAATATTGACTCAGATCTGACTTTCAGGACACATACACATATTAACTACCTCTTAAAAAAGCTAGCAAGTGCATGTGGTATTATCAAAAAACTGTCATACTGTTTACCTGAAAGGATGAAACTGACAATTTATGAGAGCTTATTCAAATCGCATGTACAGTACTTATGTGCAGTTTGGGGTATGACAGCAATATTTAACATCGAAAAATTACAAAGGCAGCAAAACAAGGCCCTAAAATCTGTATATAAATTACCACGACTGTTTCCTACTAATGAATTATATAAAAAGGTTAAACAATTAAAAATTTCGGATATTATCAAATTAGAGGAAAATAAACTAATGTTCAGAATAATCAATAAGAAAATTAAATCTAATTATATGCCAATTAAGAATAGTGATATACATGAACATAATACAAGAATACAAGGAAATTTATACAGGGTGTATATTTTAAGTGATACCACTATTACTATATCCGAAACGGTAAGAGCTACAAGGTCGGTTAAATTAGAGAAAAGTTGCCTTTTTTGATGCCCATTCAAGACTTGTTTACAGTGTTGTCAAATTCCTTCTAGTTTATGAAATACAGGGTGATTTATTAAAAACGCCAAAAACTATTTCATCAACTATTTCAAAAACTATTGATATACGAGACACAATTTAAATTTGAAAGTTTTATAATTTTTTTCGCTCTACAACATGGCATCTTCAAATTTCAAATCCGACGTTTCGTGATCGAGCTTCCATCATCAACTTAATTTTTTTAAATACGGACCTGGTCTTTTTATGTCATTTTTACAAAGGGAATAAAAGGCACTTTCTAAAAATGACATAAAAAATTCAGGTCCGTATTTAAAAAAATGAAGTTGATGATGGAAGCTCGATCACGAAACGTCGGATTTGAAATTTGATGACACCATGTTGTAGAGCGAGAAAAATTAAAAAACTTTCAAATTTAAATTGTGTCTCGAAAATCAATATTTTTCAAAATAATTAATAAAATAGTTTTGGGCGTTTCTTAGAACTCACTCTGTATTTCATAAACTAAAAAGAATTTGACAACACTGTAAACGAGTCTTAAAAGGGCATCAAAAAACGCAACTTTTTCCTAATTCAACCGCCCTTGTAGCTCTTACCGTTTCGAATATAGCAATAGTGGTATCACTTAAAATATACACCCTGTATATACCACATTGTAGAACAAATGTTCATAAAAATAGCATTTTCATAAGAATTTCAAAGTCATATAATGAATTGCCGGTACGCCAGATAAATATTGGATCTTCACAGTTATTTTCAAAAAAATTGAAGCAATTTCTCCTCTCAAGATATTTAGGAAACGAATAAGACAATGCGCATTGATTGTGAATTGATTTTTTTTCCATTGGATCTCAAGAGTTTTTTAGTTTATATACTGTTATTTTTTTTTTTATATTGTTTTTCTATCTTTGCTCTTTGTGTTCATGATCATTACTATTATTATCAGAACAGCATTTGAGTATATATTCATTAATATTAGGCATATTACATAGTGTTAGTTGGGTAGTTTAAATGAATTTTGTTGATGTACAAACATAAATAATATTTATAGGGATTTTATATATTTATATTATAGGACTTGTTACCAGTCATTGTATTATGTACTGCTTAAAGTTCAACAATAAATGCTTACTGAAAAAAAAAAAAATTAGAGGGATTCCTCACATCTCCGCTCTTGTCAAATGGAATTACTTTTGCCAGCTTAAAGCATGAAGAGAAGACACCAGACTCCCAAGACAAATTGATTGCCTGAACCAAAACATCCAAAACCTTGTCAGGCAAATTTGCATCCCCAGAGCTTTTTTTATTTTTAATATCTGATATGATCTGTTTTAATTCTTCAAGGAAAGTAGGAAAGAAGTAAAAGGAACGATTGACCCCTGCATTATTTGAGAGAAAACTAAGTGGATCAGTGTGTTGAGTAATATTTTTGGTCAGGTTTTCTGCTATAGAACAGTAAAATTTGTTGACTGAGTCAGGAGACATGTCGCTATCATTGATGCTTGGGGAAAAATGACTTTAGATGAAACTATAATGTAACAATCTTCTACACTTTCGATAACTATGAACAAGCATCCATTTAAAGCAGAGAAACTCTGTATAACTTAAATAGAACTGAGATAACCAGCTGCTGACTAGAGAGAAAACAGAAAAATACATTTGACCAAAGTCCTAAAATCAGCAAAACTTTGGACTGTGGACACTTTGGAATTTGATGAAGAAATTGATAATTGTAAAAGAGGTGGAAACTTATTTTGAAAATTGGATTCCAGGGATGATTTTGTACTCATAAAGAAAAGTGTTCAAAGATTCCTGGTAATAGTTTCTTACCTAACCAAAGAGTTATCGTTCATTCTGATCAAAGCACGGCCAGTGATATCGTGCTGAACAAAATTGTCTGCGTACAAGGGATGATAGTCGCTGCAGTGCCTTCTGAGCCAATTTTGTACGTCGCGAACGTTCCACTCGTACACCGATTTCGGTTTGTTGGTTTTTTGCTTCAAAAAAAAAAAATTAACCTATGGCAAATCGGAAATGTTTTAATAAGTAACTTACTTTTGGCTTGTTGTTAGTGTTATTGGCCGTTTCTTCCACCATCTCTCTATGGTTTTGAATAATAAATAAAAATAGATAAAATATCTACATAGAACTAAAAAGAAAACAAATTACAATCAGCTGATGTTCACAAATTTAATGTACAGCTGTGTTATTAGCCTGTTTACATTGTTGCCTTCTAAACATCTATGTTCTAAACTCATTAAATAAAGACTTTTTCAAAATATAAAAGAGTTTTCCATGAGTTGTTTTCAAATAGTAATTATTAGAAAACTCCACCTCCAAAGTCCAAATGAGTTTCATAACAAACTTGCCCCAAGTCCCAGTTTAAATTATTGTCAAAACAACAGTGACATTTCTATTCTATTTATTTTTGTTTGAAGAATAGCTGTTTTCTTTGAAGACACCTTTTTTAAATTTGTGGAAATGTCTGTGAAAAATGGTGCAGTGCCTAACGAAGAATCGAAAACTGCATTTTCCGTCTTGAGTGCTCATTTCCCCGAACCAGGAGAAAAATTGAAAACTCTTGAATTTTTAGATGCAGCCGCAGGAGTTGTTTCCTTAGTTGGTAAAGACCTATTTATGAAATATACATGTATTTCTTATTGAATTGCAACATTCTTTACAATTTGTTTTATGTATGTATTTTCATTTTCTTCATTGTGTGTAGAGTAGACTCTCTACCAATCTAATAATCTCTCTACACAGCTTTTTCTATCATCAACTACATTCAGTATTTTCTTGCATACATAGTGAAAAACCATGTAAAAACAATGTCATCTACAAAACCATTCTTCAATAATTAAAAAATTCCATATTCCAAGTTTTTACAGTGATATGACCTCAATTTTTTTTTAATTTCCAAAAAAGTAGGTAGGTACATTTTATAAAGACTTCTGGAATGGTGATGCAAAAGTCGCAATACCAAATACAAGTGATCTGTCAACTGTTCCAAAAAAAAAAAAAACCATAAAACCCACACTACATAGGTACTTGGCCAAAATATATAATATGTTTAAAGAAATTTCTACGTTGATATCTATGCAGATTCAAGCTATAAGTGCGGTCGTACACCAATGATACATCAAACATGCAACACGCGACATGAAGTAAATACCGCAGGTAGACTTGTGCCACATATATCCATTGTTAAAACATTGTACGTTTTCACATTGGATATATGCGGCACTATCTATCTGCGGTATTTGCTTCATGTTACAAGTTGCATATTGCATATTTGATGTTTCCTGGGTATATGACCGCACTAAGAAAGAAGCAATGAATATAGGTGGATGAAATCATAAGTACATCTTATACAGGGTGTTCCGAAACTATTGTGCCAAAAATTAAGGGATAATAGATCTCGTCAAAATAAACGTTTTTTACTGATGAACCCATAGACGCATGCGCTTTGGTTAGGTGAATTAAATATTACCACATTACTGTCCGCGCACAAACTGTGTTATTGAATAATCCAAAACCTAAGGAATGCTTGCAGTATTTATTAAAAACAATGATTCACATCAAAAGATGCTCAAAATTACGACCTTTCGCCCCAATGCATGCGTGACAGCGCTGTTGCAGAAATATCGAGTAAATTTCTGCAGGATACCCTTCCCGATATCCCGATATGTTAGAAACTGTTCCCCTGTATCACAGACAAAACATGTGGTACCAACCGACGAAGCTCCACCACACTACTAGTTAGTCGTAAGGGAACATCTCAATGAAACAATCTGGAAAGAGTGTTTGGTAAGGGCGCACCTATTGCATGGCCTCCAGGTTCACCAGACCTGACCGAATGCGACTTTTTTTTTATGGAGTCACATGGAAGCTCTTGTGTACGACACTCCAGTTGAAACAGAGGAACAGTTAGTAGGAAAGGTTATTGCAGCAGCTGTTTAAATTCGCGAAACGCCAGGAATTTTTCAACGTGTTCAGGAGGCTATGCAGGGGCGCTGTCACGCATGCATTAAGACGGGTGATCGTTATTTTGAACCTCTTTTGATGTGAATCCTTGTTTTTAATAAATACTGCAAGCATTCCTCGGGTTTTTTATTATTTAATAACTTAGTTTTTGCTTGAAATACGTTTCTCCGTGTGTAAGGTGGTTACCCCAGCGCGGACTGTAAAGGTAAGGTAAACGCACTAGTAGTTGACATTATAGTGTCGGAAAAAACAGTTTTTTTTTTGCTTTTTTATCTAAATTTCAATTTTTCTTAGATAATTTAGTATAGTTTTGTACTTTATTTCCTTGTGAATAAGATAAAATTAAGTAGATATTTTAAAAAATGGAAATACAGTTTTTGTTTAGGGAATTTTTAAAAAATGTTTAAAATTTGTCACTAGTTGACACTCAAAAAATTAAAAAATCTAGTAGTTGACATATAATAGGTATTAGTAGTTGACATGGGAATGAAACAATTTTTTATGCTCATTACTTAAGTAAATTTTAATTCACAACATACAAAAAACTAAATATAAACATGATAAGCGGGACTATTATTTTCAACCTCAACTTCAATGGGTGTCAGAAATTGGTATTTAAGTCTCTCTTCAGCTATAATTATTTTGGGGTTTGGCAATTTCCTCAATATTTGGTTGAATTTTATTAAACTTATATCTTTCTCGTTTGGTTTGAATAAGTATTATCTTCGTCGCAACAATTCATAGCAAGAACTTCAGCTTCACTATTTTCAAAGACTTTTTGTACAATCCATACATATTTATAATTCTTTACACTGCCAGGGAATTTGGCTACTATATATTCACCTTCTCTATAACCATTCACTATTCCCCGAGCTATTCCCTCATCAAGCTCTTCAATATTCTCTTCTTCAGAAGATATGTCATCCATACTACTCCCAGATTCAACCCATGACTCATCATCAGTACTTGAGGAGGAATATTTTTGTTTCTTCGTAGATGGCTTTCGTTTCTTCTCAATAGTCTTCTGTTTTCTGCGTTGCTCCAGCTTTTCTTTTTTCAAAATATCATATCACTTCTGCCTCTCTTCAGCTCTTCTCCATCCCATGTTCTTCCTGGTTTGTTATTTTTGAATGGATTTGGTTGTTTTAATTCAGTCATGGGCACCTAAAAGCAAGTGAGCTTTAATTTGTTCGTTGTGATCAAAACTTAAGATTTGATACCATACCTGAACACTGGTCATAAGTTGGTGGGGCTGTATGTATCTATGATCTATTTTACAAGTATTTTTTCTTGTTCTGGTAAAATGTACGGTTGGGGACCCATTTTTCTTTTTCGTGGTGTCGTGCCTCTTGATTTATACAATAAGGTCACTCTGGGAATATTGGATTTTTTAGCTGTTGTAGACACTGCTTGTCCCCGTGAAACTTCTTCAATCGCTTTCTCCATATCATCTCCACAATACCTGAACATTTGTCCCTTTACAGACGACATACTTAATCTAAAATTTCATGTTTTAGTAGATGACATCCTAAAATCCTAAGTAAATGACATTAGTGTCAACTACTAGATCCAGTCAACCTAGAGCAATACTACTGATAGAAGACTTTTTAATAATGAAAAAATGCAATAGAAAAAGTATTGAAATCAAAAGTCTATGCTTAACACTACTAGTTGACATCAATGTCAATTACTAGAAAACTTAGGTTTCTTGTTTTAGTGCTTGACACCAAGCTCATTCCTCCTTTAGAAGTTAAAATCACTTTTTTTTATAGATCATTCATTTCTTCTATATCTGCACGTCAAAATGGTACAACTATAATCACAATCATACAGGGTTTAATTTTTAAAAAATTTTTTTTGATAAACTTACCTTCTTAACACTTATATTAAGTAAATTCACTACAGACGAACTAGATGCGACCATGCAACACAAAAATGGCGCCAAACTGCCCTTATGAACTAGAATGATTCTAAAATTAGACAGTAGTCGCCTCGCAGATGTAGCTAGTTAGTCCCGGTGTTCACATAATATTAAAAATAGTAGATTATACCACGAGTCAATAATGATAGCTATTATTCCCGAGGATTATTACGAACTGAGCCGCGTTAGCGGCGAGGGAGTAAGATTCCGAGGGAATAATAGCCATTATTGCGAGTAGTATACTTTACTTTATTTACGACAAATTAATTTATTTGAGATTTTCAATGAACAAATTTCATCCGTCTCATAATTTTCAATACAAATCCACAAGCACTACACGTTTGACACTGACACTTTTGTGGAATAATGACCATTAATCCCGCTACTCGTCATTAATCCCTGGAGGAATAACATATGTCATTATACTGCCAAAATCACAAATATAATACGCACATTATACATTAGTCGTAAATAAACAAATTTAATTTCCTATTTTGAATGATTAAAATAGAGAATGTCAACTACTAAGACTATGTCAAGTACTAGTGCGTTTACCTTATCACCTAACCAAAGCGCATGCGCCTATCGATTCATAAGTAAAAAACATTAATTTTGGCGAGATCTATCATCCCTTAATTTTTGGCACAATAGTTTCGGAACACCCTGTATAGAAATTTGATACTGAAAACAATGCAATAGCTTTCTACAAAGAAAAATAGGGATATGTAATAATATTCTGTCAAAGAGAAAAAGTGTTAAGCTGGGTTTATACAGGAAATAAAATAACATAAAATAAGAAATAAAATAAAATTAAAAGATGGCCTTATGAGAACCCATGGTGGCGTTTATACACAAAAATAAAATAAAATAACAAATAAGCAAAAATAAAAAGTTGGTTAACTTTTAACTTCTTATTTATTTTATATGAAAATGCTATTTGCGCATATGTCACGACGTCGATTAGATTAGACCGATGACAGTTCAGGCGCGTTGTGATTGGCTCAAAATAATTCTAATTTTATTTTATATTTTTTCTGTATAAACGCCTTATTTCTTATTTTGCTTATTTGTTATGTTATTTCTTATTTTATTTTATTTTATTTCCTGTATAAATCCAGCTTTAATAGTGGAAGCAAGCACCCAAACTAATTCGAATCCTAATATAAACTGGGACAACTTTCATTTTCATAAGAAGACTCAAAAGAATACAAAAACTTTGGAAAAAATTCGAAACACTTCATCACTATACCATTTCCAGCATTATTTCACACTAGTGAAATTTGATTTCAAATTAATGAAAACTAAATTCACATCAGTGAAATCTAATTTCGCTCAAATGAAAATTGATTTCAAAGTAACAAAAACTAATTTCTCACAAACAAAATTTGATTTCACATTTTTGAAAATTAATTTCAAACTGACCCTAATTAATACTCATATTTCAAACATTTATTATTCAAAAAACAGTAAATTTTTTTTTCAGGTACCTATATTTTGCCTTAAACGTTAAATTGTGAATTCAATATTTTTGAAATTGGTATGAATAACTATGTATAGTATTTTTAATCCGACTTGAAACACTTGAAAAACCTCTAGTCGGTATACATCAAACAAAAAAAGGTCATGGGCGTCACATAAATTTTATTTCTCTAAATGGTGATAATCAATATCAAACAACACAACTAAATAATACGTGGAATAAAATAGCAAATAATATATCAACGATAATTATATAAATTGGGATGACAGTGGTTATAGAAATCGCGTAGTCTAGTCAACAGTTGTACCTACATCGTTCCCGGGAAAACATAAGTTGCCCACCCCAATAATTAAACCTATAGGCACGTGCCGACTTAAATTATTAATTTGGGCAACTGTAGCGATATTTCGTCGCTACTTATATTTCGTACCGGGTGATTGTCTATATTTTGCACCCATACCTATCTCACCTGCTTGAAGAGATACCCAGAAATGTCAAATGTTAAAGTTCTAGGTAATATCAGAAACTTTGCAGTTAAAGTTAGTTACAAGTATACAGGGTGTATCACAAAAGTGTGGCGAAGCAAAGTTATACTTTTTTAAATGGAACACCCCGCATATTATTGATCTATCGGATTAAGGTTGCCAGATTGAAATATCTACAAATCGGATATAACAATCAAAAAGCTGTTAAAAAATCGGGACTTTGAATAAAAATCGAGACACTTTTTTTAACCTTCGTCTTCCCGGGTGGGGTACAAATGTACCCCAGAAAACAATTTTTCTAGCATATTTTCCCAAAAAGTGCATATTTCTTGTGACTAATTTTATTTTGTGTCAGTAAGGGCTTTGCGAATCATTAGTTATCATCAAAAATTTTCTATTTATTAATTTTTTAAAAATAATAATTTTTGCACAGCGTGGGGCACATGTACCCATTGACGTACCCCACGTGAGAATCTGTGGCTACTCTATCAAGTAGTCACCTTGCAGGAAATTTGCAGGTTGGAAATAGATTTCCAACCTGGAAAATTAAGAAATTACGATAATAAAGCTGATCAAGAAGTACCTGTGGAGCAGGAAGAGAACGAAAGTTTACGGGAAGTAGAAGGCGGAAAAATGATTTATAAATCGAAAGATGGTCGATGATAATAACATTTCCTAACTATTTTTTTTTTCGCTAACTGTACTCTATAGGTTGATTTTATCTATTAGGTATAACTATTTAGTATAAATAAAATCATGTTTAATTATCAGAAGTATCATTTTTATCATGGGGTACGAATGTACCCCACGTGGGAATCTACGTAATTTTATTTGATGTGGGAAGACGGAGGTTAAAAAGGAATAATTTGATATAAAAATAATACTGAACAATAAATTTTCTAATAAAATTTAAAAATAAACTGAAAAATGTTCCACAGAAAGGGAGAGAGGTCTATGTCAGCACTGAACAAATATTAATTTCGGGGTTAACAAGTAGGTAAAATTCAAAAATAGAATGACGTTACTTCTCTTGTTATTCCAGGAGCCGGATTCTCGTTTAAGTGAGTAGAGCTTCCCGATAGAACAAATGTTTTGTCCTTGTCAAAGTAATCGCAAAGTAAACGAGAATGATAAAGACGAAAAATGTGTTCTCTCGGGGAGCTCTACTCCCTGGCTCGAGAATCGGTCCCCTGTGAAGTTAAGCTTTAGTTATCTGTCATGAGCAGGTATTATAAAACATATATTTTGAAAGATAACTAAAAGCTTCTGGAAATACTAAGAGAAGTATCTTTATTTCAGAAGTTAACTTTTAGTTATTTTGTCAAAATAGTTTTATAATACCCGCCCTTATAAGTACTTTTAATTTTGTCTAACTTTTAAAAGAATTTCCGTGGAATCGGGACATTTAGCGTCTCCCGACGTATAGTCCATCGGGACACGGGACAAAATCTCCAATATCGGGACTGTCCCGTTAAAATCGGGACGTCTGGCAACCCTATATCGGATTAGCCTTTCAAACCTGATTCTAAATATACTAGGTTTTTAAGGTTTATTCCTCATAGTCTAGCCTTTGAATGTCCCATTTTGAAGAAATGATATGGATTTTTAATTGAATGATTACCTACCTTTATATATTGCTGGTGGTCTCTATACTGCACCTTTTTCAATAAAAATGCAATTATTTCATCCTTTTTTTTCTTATTTTCTCCCGGACTATTAGGAATAAACCTAAAAAACTTAGTATATTTGGAATCAGGCTTGAAAAGCTAATCCAATGGGTCAATAATAAATGGGGGTGTTCCATTTAAAAAAGTTCAACTTCCCTTTGCCACACTTTTATGGCTGTACATACTTTTAACTAACTTCATTGAAAACTTTCTGATATTCACCTATACAACTTTCACATTTGACATTTCTGGGTATCTCTTACAATAGATTTTCTATGAAATTAATAGAAGAAGAGCGACGTGATGCTGAATTATCCTTGTATAATGCAGTGTTTCAAGTCAGAATAAAAATACTATACCGCTGCCGGTATTTTTTTGCGCGTAGATAGACTATTGCCCATATATTAATCAGTATTATACAAGCAAAAAAATAAAAAGACAATTAATAATTTTAGGTCTTTTATCTTTTGAAACATTTTTTTGCGGTTTCGATATGGAGCTCACGGGCCCCTTTCGGAGCCGGGCCTGTGTGCTTCGCACACATGGCACACCGGTAGATACGCCACTGCGTTTTGCATTATACAATGTTTTTTAGTTTCAATTAGAATAATCTGGCTTTGATGATGATGCTAATAACCAGCATCGAAACGTTGGCTATTTGATTTTTAAATTTAATAAATCAGTGAATCAGTCCAAGAAAGCTGAACATTATTTCCATTCCTCATAGAAATAAATAATGTTGTCTTCAGTTTGGCAAATCACGTGAAAAGGTATAATGCGGCTATCTTATCTCAAGAGTGAAAAGACTCAACTTAAGTTCAATAATAATTTATAATTATTATTGTTGTTTCATGATTGTATTTTATGTTATGTGAACTCATTGGGTTTATTTCATTAGGGTGAAATAAATAACATTTGTTGATGTTTTTTCAAATTAAAATAATAAATGTTTGAAAAATGAGTATTAATTAGGGTCAGTTTGAAATTCATTTTCAAAAATGTGAAATCAAATTTCGTTTGTGAGAAACTAATTTTCGTTACTTTGAAATCAATTTTCATTTAAGCGAAATTAGATTTCACTATTGTGAATTTAGTTTTCATTAATTTGAAATCAAATTTCACTAGTGTGAAATAATTCTGGAAATAGTATAGAAGGGTGTTAAATAGTTTTAAATCACTGTTTTTTTTTTATTTGTTGAATACTACTGTGTGTGAGAAGAAGTTTTTAAATCAAATTTCAAAGAAGTTAGAATGAAGCTATAATTTAGGACCTTGTATGGAGGCTTAATTTCAATTAAGATGTAAATTTTGTCCAAAAAGGACTACTAACTTACTCATAATTATTTCTCTTCACCTTCACACTCATTATAATTAATGCTCTGGTAATTTTTTAGAGAAACTAGGCAAAATTTTTTCTCCAGTAGTTAATGATATAAATGGAAACATAAAGGTAATCAGATCTGCAATCGTTTTTTAATGGAAATTCTTCAATATTTAATTTTCTTTAGAAATTACTAGAAAGCTACAATAAAGACCCTGAAACTAACGAATATTTGGAAGACATGATTTTGAAAGAACAAATTGAAGGAGATAATAGCAGAGGCATAGCTACAGATGCTTTATTATGGCTGAGAAGGTAACAGCAGAAATGAAAAAATACAATATTTACAATTTACATTATTCCAGAGCGCTCCACTTCAAAAGTATATTCTTTCAACTAATAATCATGGACACAGACAGTCAAAGGTTGGTGCAAGATTTGACTCCTTTCATAAAGCGAGCCTACTCTGAGTCTTTGGAACGCTATCACGGTTGGTTAGGAAGCCAACTCTTTCATGTAATTTCGCGATTTATACCCAACAGAAAATCGCTTCTATGTACCCTGGCACTGAATAGGAACGATAAAGAGGAAGAAGTTATTCGAGATATGAAGCAGTATAATTTGAGATTGTCCAGGTGCGTGTCGAAATTGAGACAGTTTTATATGGATCATCACTTGGAACCCATATAGCTGTGATTTCATGGAAAAATTATTAGTTTTAAAATTAGATTGTGTGTTGTAACAACAAATGTTTTTTAATTTGTGTTAAAAAATAGATTCTATTATTAAAATTGTTTGTATTTTGAGATTATATATTGCTGGGTGAAACTTTTTACTTTGTACATTATCTTACAAATAATGGGTGCTTATTTATATACATGTTGACCAAAGAAATAATATATTTTATTATTTGTTTGATTGTTTGTTTAATTTAAAGGTTGTAAATCAAAATTTAATTTTCATTTAATGCTGATAGGAGGATCATAAGTCAATGTATTGCAAGTGCAATCATTTAAATAAATATCACAAAATTTCATGATGAGGATTTTAAAGGGTAAAAAACATTATTGTTTAAAATGTGCTCTGAAAATGTACAAGTATTTGAAATAAAAGAGGTACAAAAAGATAAAGAAAAATATTGGCCTCAGATTTTAACAATATTTATTCGTAAGTTATTGATTGTCTCTCTAATGGTTTGTTAAATGTAGGTATAACTTCTATATGTTTTGACAAAATCTCAACATGGAAAAATTCGAAATTTATTGATGTATCAATAGTTAGGAAGCTTCAAATCAAAAACTGAAATCATTTTCAGTTTCTTTGGGTTTCTTCACAAATGGACTCCTACTTACTTGGAGCTCACCCTACGCAATGGTTATCGTTGAAGATAAAGATAACTACAATATAACTGAAGAAGAAGCTTCTTATTTCATTACTTTCAATCCTTTGGGTAAGCAATTCACAAAAACAATACAAAAATTAAACAAAAATACATTTTCAGGAATGATTTTCGCCAGTTTGTTCTACTTTAAAATCTCAGAGTACTTGGGAAGAAAAAAATCTTTGATCTCCTTAGCTGTACCACAAACTTTTAGTTGGATAATAATTATTTTTGCAACAAACAAATGGCATTTTTACGTAGCACGATTCATAGGTGGAATGGCTGAGACTGTTTTATTTTGCAGCATTCCACCTTATATTGGTGAAGTAACTTCACCTACAGTCAGAGGATATTTCGGAAATATACCAATGTTTAGTTTAAACCTTGGAACAGTTGCTATTTCAATATTAGGTAAAGATCAACAATTTCAATTTCACTTAAAAAATAAAATTCTTTTTTCAGGAATCTACCTAAACGTAAAGCCATCAGCTTACATATGCCTATCAGTTCCATTACTTTTCTTACTCCTCGTAGCACTTGTATTGCCAGAATCCCCTTATCAGCTAATAAAAGACTTGCAATACACAAAAGCTCATGAGACTATAAGGTGGTTTCGAAGAAAACCTGATGTGGAAGACGATTTTATAAAAATGAAGGCAGACGTGGAAAGGCAAATTTCAGAAAGCGGAAACTGGAAGGATCTTTATAAAATCGCTAGTAACAGGAAAGCGCTGCGCGCTGGTATATTTCTAAGATTCTCTCAGCAATTTTGTGGCATTGCTGTGTTTTATTCGTTTATTCAAAGCATATTTGAAAAAGCTGGAGGAAATCTGAGTGCCCAAAATTCCTCTTTAATATTCATCAGCACCGTTTGCATCCTTAATTTGCTTTGTAGCGCAGTCATAGAAAAATTCGGAAGGAAAGCAACATATTTCTACTCAATATTGAGCTGCGGCATAATCCTTATACTGATGTCGATTTATTTCGCCTTAGAACAATATCAATTAGCCAATTTGGAACAATTTAATTGGTTCCCTTTAGTAGGCATGCTAAGTTTTGTATTGGCATTCTCTCCAGGCTTAGGTATTGTACCCACCTTGATGCTAGCCGAATTATTTTCTGCCAGTGTCAAATCTAAATGCCTTTCCCTTTTGATGGCAGCATTTGGCATATCCGTATTGCTTACCACTAATATATTTATTTTTTTAACGAGTTATGTAGGGCTGTTTTGCCCTTTTCTAGTTTACGGGATAAACTGCGTGATTTCGTCTGTATTCACTTTGCGCTGGGTGCCAGAGACTAAAGGAAAAACTTTAGAAGAAATTCAACAAGAACTTAAGAAGTGATTTTTATTGGAAAATATTTTATTAACTAATTGCTTAAACGTTAGAATACTTTGAGAAGTAATTTTCAATAGCTTCATCTTTTTTTCTCAGTACCTACCAATTTAGTCTTCTTAATCTTTGATCACAATTTCTAGTATAACTTTTAGTACGTATTGTTACTAAAGACATACAAACGATGATTTAACATAAATTCAATTATTAATCCATCATATTATGAAACCCATGTAGCTTCATATGTTTAAAATATCCGGCAGCATAAAAACTTTTCTTGCACAAATGACAAGTGTGTTTTCTCAAGTTACTTTTTCTATTAGATACTTCTTGGATTCTGAATGGCCTTACATAAAATCGAATTTTTTTGTTATAAACAGGTGCTCTATCAATGTAGGAACTAAGTTCTTCATGGTTACGGGAATGTTTTTTTAATTGAAATTTTGTACATTTCATTAGGCATATAGGACACCTGTACAGTTTGTTATTTGTAGTTTCTGGTTTTTTATTCAATAAAGCTAATGTTTTATTGATATTGTTTATTTTATTGTAAAACGTATCATCATTTCTATCCAGGATTTCTAATAATTCAGCATCATCATTAACTATCCATTTCCAGAAAATTGCCATCTTCATCTTCTTTCTATAGCAGATAAAGTAGCATCTGAATTTGAACTAATATTATCTTCATCAATTTTAATATTGATAACCTTTTTAAGAGCTTCAGAAGTTTTGTCATACCCACATAACAGTGAAAGAACATTCATATTCTCAGAATATTCCCTCAAAGCTTAGACTTCAAAGTGCTTTTTGGAATGTTCTTTTGGGAATGTTCAATGAATATCCTAAGATTGTTTCGATTGAAATATTCATTTTTGAACGTTCTGTTTATGTACTAGGAATGTTGCTTCTATGCACCTACCTGAAAGATTGTGCTAAGAACCTACTTTATATAACATTATTTGAATATTCTCATACGAACATTATTATAATGTACCCTAAAAAATGTTCTTTCGGCTAATATCTCTATCAAGTATTAAGAATATACCTACCAAGTTGTGCTGAGAAGTTTTTGTAGGTAGGTACCCATGATAAGAATATTTCCATATTGTTCACCTAATTATCTAAAGTACCTACTCAAAAACTTAATTGAAACAATTAAACAATAATGCTCTATCTAGAACCTACTAAGAATATTATAGGTATATTCTTTTTCTTTTGCTTTGTAGGAATTCCAAGAGAGAGAGCCACGCGCTATTAAAGATCTACATCTTGCCTCGCGTTTGAATCACCTTGGAAACACTTGTGTTTTCCAGAGAAATTTTCCAACAATTCTTTCACTGCCTTTAATATAAAGTGACTGGAAGGAGCATTATTTGGAAAAAAAAATTAACATTCCAAGTATATGCTTAGAATCAAACAAGAATGTTATTTCTAGGATGCATATTGAGAATGATATATTCTAAGAATATTTCAAGCATATTCGTATAATATTCTTTTGAGAACATAACTATAATGTCATAGAAACATTCTTTGAACATGAGAATGTACATTTCGAGCATATTTTTAGAATCAAACAGGAATATTCTTTTCAGGATGTACTGAGAATCTCATAGGTATATTCTAGGAATATCCTAATGGATTTCCCAGGAAGTTCTTGGGTATTGCAAACAGTATTTCTACAATCTATTCTCAGAACATTCTCAGGACATTCACAATGGTTTTGGCGAACATTCTAGGCACATTCCTCCTAAAAAAGAACATTCTTAATACATTCTAAGGATGCAATTTTGTTATGTGGGTATTTTCTTTTAAACTCGTAAGCGGTTGTTAGTAAGTTTATACATTTATCACATATTTTGTTTGGATATTTTGGATCATTAACTTGCTCATCACTTTCTCCAGTTAGATACTGAAACGATTCTATCAATATTAAATGATTCAGTCAGGACAACTACTGAGGCTAACGGCGTCATGTTTGATCCATTTTCAAAGCATATTCTGCATAAATCATTTATAGTAATTATTCCGATTTTTTCTGCATCACCTTCTACTTGGTAATTTTGGGGCTTTGAAGGTTTTATTCTTACTGGATAGCTTTTTTTAAGATCCTTAACTACAATGTTTCCCTTTGGGGAATTCAATTTTTCACTATTTCTACAAAATCCCATGTTTACTGATGGCTCCCAATCTGGATGAGGCGAAGCAGCAATCCACTTATTGTCTCTGCGTGCAGGACGAACCTTCGTGTTTGTGGCAATAGTTGTAGGAAATCTGAAATAATAAGCCATTTGTTATGTGTAGGTACCTATATTGAAATCCTTGGATAATCATACACATGCAAGTTTCACCACTGATCTGTCAAAATATCAAGTCTGTAGTCTAATATTCGCAAAAATAATAATTGGAAACCTGCTTTTAACATGATTTATGTTTATTAAAGCTGACTGTTAATACCAATGACATCTTAACACAGATAGACACTGCATACTGCATCTCATCCATAAACCTGATCATTGTTGTGATGGACAAGAGTAAGACCCCCCATGGGCCAGAAGATGTGAGCTGCTGGAGGAGGGAGGAGAGTCTTGGTGGGGATGCATCAGAGGTGTAAGCAAGACCCGTCTTGCAACTCATCGTCTATCTATCCGCCTCTAACTCATATGATAAAAGTTCGATGGGCGCGATGAGATGCCAATGGATTGCAGCGCGAGTTCCGTCAAAACTGGCGTTGGCAGTAGTCGTTATTAGTCTTGAATTAATTTTTTGTCTTATATCTACTCGCATTTGGCACTTATTTGGCTAATAATTTTATTTCTGCGGCTGTACTGGTGTACAGGCGGGTGTCCACATTTATAGGCTCAAATTTCAATAAGTACTATTAGGGATTTTTTTAGAAAAAATCTGATAGCAAATTCTTGTTTAGAATGGTTTAAAACCCACATGTACCAATTTTTGTTCCGATATGATTTAGCGTGATCACAACAAATTTTCAAAATTTAATAGACCAAACCGGAAAAATGTCATATTTTGAGGTCTTGAGAACAACAAAGCTTGATACAACATAGTTTTAGAACATCCTTAACCAAAATTTGTAGTAAGCTTGTCTCAAAATATAACATTTTTGCGGGTAAAATTTGTTGTCATCACCCTGTATCGTATTGTAACAAAAATTAGTACAGTTGGGTTTTAGACCATTCTTTACAAGAATCTGCTATCCGATTTTTTTCTAAAAAGATCCCTAATAGTACTTATTGAAATTTGTGCCTATAAATGTGGACACCAGTAGTACAGCCGCAGAAATAAAATTATGAGCCAAATAAGTGCCAAATTCGAGTAGACATAGAGACAAAAAAAATTAATTGAATCGGTTGAAAAATAAAAATTTTAGAAGGCTGGAGGTTACCCAAGTGCCTTTCCCAACTGGAGGTATTTCGTTGGTTGAAACAAGTTTCCTGACTGTTTTCAACCAATGAAATTTGCTCTGACTGGTTTATGATTTCTGTGCGAATAGACCTTATATCAATCGGTAATAATGTAGCAACCTCATTGGAGGGGATACACCGGAGGTGGGTCGCTTTCCCAGATGTTATTGGCGACTCAAAATGTTGCTTACTGTATCTATCTGTGTTAATAATATGTCATTGGTTAGTACAAATAAGTTCATACGAAATCGAAATACATCTTATACCTAACAATCTACTTCGAAAGTTATTTGGACAAAATCTACAGCTCCTGCACTATAGGATATTTACGCTATATTTGGGATGACATGAGATCACTTTACTTAGATGACGTCATCATGAGTATAACGTAAATATCCTATCTTATATATGACAGCATTTTTAAGTTCAAATTGAAAGTCTTCTAGGTGAATAGCTAAACAGAAAAAGTTATGTAAATAATGAAAATCACAAACAAAAATAGGACTTTCTCCAATATGACTGCTTATTGAGCTGAAAGTATGTCATTTCACTTTTCAGCTGCAGACCTCAAGTCTTGGCGTAAAATCCATTAGCCGAGTTTTAAAACAAAATAGGTCGAAAAAATTAATTCCTAAAACGTTATAATCTTGTTGAAATCACCTTTTCTACATTTAAGATCGACAAAAAAAAAACAATCACAATTTGAATCGCAAGGATCCCATCTCGTGGCCTGCGGGTGACGTCAACACTATAAGCTGATATCTTTGAACATAAAATAACAGGAAGGAGCATAACCTCGAATCTGCGGGACCATATGTGGAGGTTGCATATGGCCGACTAGTGTTTCCGGTTTGGCAGTGGCGTATATTTATTTAAATATGACTGCCAATATTATGACACTCTTTTCGCGCTAATCCCAGTGCTTATTATCACTTAAAACCGCTAAAATCCATTAAACATCCACTTGAATGAGGACACAGCGAACCACCAAAACAAATGATGAGTCAAACTTGGAGGCTCAATATGGCCGTTTCCGTCCCTTTTTTGTTTGTAGTGACAGATAGACAACGCTCCTTCCTGTAGTTTTATATTCAAAGGCTGATATGCTGCTAATAGTGATAACGTCACTTGCAGGCCCTGCCTACTCGAGAATTGGCGAACATACGTCTTGAGGATGAGCAACCAGGGCGGCTGGGACTCTAACGGATAGAGATCGTTATCTCTATCGCTATGGCACTTGCTGTCTTCTTCTGTCTTGTCGAAATCAATAGAGAGGAGACGTCAATAAAGATAGAGAAAATATCTCCATTCGTTACAGAGTCCCAGCCCTCAGGGCTGGGTTGAAAATACTCAGAAAACTAGTTTCACCCAATGAAATTCACTCTGACTGGTTTGTGATTTCTGCAGAAACAGACCTATTACAACTTAGTTCAAGTTAAGTGCGTCACAAACAAATAAGCCTGTAGACTATCGTATCGATACTTTTGTATCGATAAACCCATCCTCTAGTTGGTTATGGAAGGAGCGCTTTCTTTTATTCACCTATGGATCCATCGATAACCCGTCTATCTTTGTCTAGTTCATAGAAAATCGGAATGGCTGTCTCATAATGGTGGGCATGGTGGCAGCAGATGGATTCATCGATGGAAAAAATAGGTTGTTCATTTGTACTTGCTCTACCTGCTCCACCTAGGCCGAGTTCAGAAATAGTTGTATTAGGCAATTCAATCCATCTGTCAAAACGGAAAATTCAATGTGACGTGGCGGCCAAGCAAGTTTGTTTTGGATATGTTTTTATGCGTATTTTAAATTATTTTGCATACAGTTTTGCTTACAACTTTGATTTTCATTATTTAATAAAATATTTGTTGACTAGGTACCTGAACTATTAATTCCGGCAGAAACTAGATATTTTGTTGTGTTTTTTGGCCCATGTGTGGCTGCCACGCCATCTTGAATGTCACGTGGTTTGAATTGCCTAATTATAGAGGCGTTTTCTCGCGGGGCGAATGGTTCGAACTACGGTTTAAACCAATTTGTAGATGACGTCATCACTTGTGAACGCGAGAAAATGGAAGGTTTGAACCACAGTCTTATGTAAACGGAGAACAAGCCATGAGTCCGGTTCGAACTTTTTTCAACCAGGTTCAATGTGACGTCACTGGTTCAACGCAAGAATGTACAGGTTCGAACCTAATTGAACCGGGTCGAACCAGTTCCACCGCGAGAAAACAGGGGGCGGATTACGAACTCTCGATTCGAACCGAAACCGCCATAGATTTCGAACGCATTCCTATGCATTCACATGGAGTGCGTTCGAAATCCATGGCGGACTTGGTTCGAATCGAGAGTTCGTAATCCGCCCCCAGCTTTGGCAATCCAATCCATCTGTCAAAAAGGAAAATTCGATATGGCGTGGCAGTCAAGCAACTCTGTTTTGAATATGTTTTTATTCGGTACCTAAACTATTAAATCGGGCAGAAATTAGATATTTGTTTGAGTATTTTGGCCCATGTGTGGCCTCCACACCATCTTGAGTTTCACGGTCTGGATTGCCTAATTTCTTTCAAGAGCTTGAAACACAAGAGCCTTGTTTGCATTTTTTTTAATAATAAACAGCCTTTATCAAATTGAGTAGGCAGAATGAGAAACAATCGGAAAAATAATGCATAACAACCCGTTGTTGATAGAGTTGTCATTCAAGTTTTAAAAAAGTTAGTCACGATTTTTTAATTTTATAAAAATACCTACATAGATCAATCACTCAGAGCAGGGTCTATTCAATTAATAAACACTAGACGTAGCATTGGTCCAAGTGTTTTCATTCAAGGATATCATCGCTGATATCCCGTAGCAGCACCGCCAAGCAGCGCAATACCGAGAAGGTACCTATTCTTCAAGGTTGCGACAAAATTGGGCACCCTGCCCTCATCAAGCCTTTCGCTCCGGTGTTAGTCGACCCCAATTTGAAAGGAACAGATGCGCTGATTTTCATGCATTTAAATGGTTTGAGTCGGGCTTGAGCACTCAGGTGCAACAAAAGGCGATTTTCAGCCTGAAATGATTATTATTTGGTTATAACCAATGCATTTATTGCATTTCCGCCGTCGCGGTTTTAACCAAAGTAGGGGAAGTTGTGATGTCACATATCAGCTGATTTGCTTTTGGTATTTACCACTTATAACCGATTATAACCCAGCTTTGGACTTGGGTTAATCTTTTGGTTACAGCTTTTTGATGTTATTGTTATTATTTTGGGAATTGGTATTGGTGTTTTGTGATTTTGCAGTTGTGTTGTGGCCTGTTACAATGGAAGAAGTATACACTCACTCACTCACTGCAACTCATCATGTTTAGATCGAGGTTTAGATCATCCCCAAAGAAAATCTATTCGATAAACGAGACTAACGAGAGATTCCGCTCTAATTTCTGTACCTAAACAACAAACCATTGTTGAAACGAAAAAACAAATAGGAATAATAAACATAATCCTATACTGCTATAACCAAATCATTTCAGCGGTCAGTTCCTTGGATTATGATTCTTGAGTGGTGGGGGGCTATGACTGTCAAAGTTGTCAACCAAAAGAATAACCACGGTATTTACCGATAAATAATCATTCCAGGCTGAAAATCGCCTAAACACTTTTCAAAAGGAATAAACGCGTAACGCCCCGGAGCTGTTCCGGAGGTCATTGATTGGGCTCATAGCACCGTCTACAGTGTGCACCGTCTAGCATTTTTGAATAGCTAGGGCGTCGCACTGGTTTCACACTCACACTGGGTGTGTCACTCCTGAACTCGCCCCTGCTCGAATAATCAGGAAGATCTGCTAGGAGCTGCTATTTAAAAAAAAAAAATTGAGCTTATATATGGGACAAATAAACGCCGATCAGCTGCTGAGATTTGCTTGAAGCAAGAAAAGCGGTACAAATTAACAGCCTATAAGTGCGTTCGAAATCTCCCTATGCGTCACACCGAGTGCACACCTGACACCAGCCATGAATTTTTCATGGCTGGTGTGCACTCGATGTGACGTGTGACGCCCAGGTCAATTTCGAACGCACTCCTTTGCTGTGTCACTGTCAAATGTTAAATGTCAGATTGTGGCTATTCATGTTTTTCAAATTCTTGTAGATAAAAATTTTGCATTTCATTGATTTCATTCATTTCAATGCTAGAATATTCAAGAACAATAATTTTAGCAATTTTATAATAAAAACCTTCAATTCACCTACCTATTGCTTATTCACATAAATAATATAGTCACGTATAGTCGAGTCAAATCATTGTGCTTACAACCCATCATTACGTTTAAAAACCTTGTTAAAAATGGAATTGCCTCATCTAGGAAAACATTGCTCAAAATCTGACTGCAACAAACTGGATTTCTTACCCATCCGATGCGACGCCTGCAAACAATTATTCTGCGAGGACCACTATAGATACACCACCCACAACTGCCAGAAAGCCTACCAGAAAGACAACCAGGTACCAATTTGCCCCCTGTGCAACATTCCAATTCCAGTTCAAAAAGGATTGCATCCAGACTATGTAGTCGGTACTCATATAGATTCAGACTGTCAGAGTGATCCAGCCAAGTCCAGAAGAAAAGTCTTCACCAACAAGTGTTCATTTAAAAGGTGCAAAAACAAAGAAGTTGTTCCAGTGATATGTAAGGAGTGTTCGCTCAACTTTTGCCTTAAACATCGACACACCACTGATCACAGTTGTAGTGGTATGGGTGGTAAGAGAAGGTGGATCTTTCAACATCAACATCAGCAACAAAATCAAGTAGCAATGAGTGAAGATGAGGCTTTAGCTAGGGCCTTAGCTTTATCCATGCAAGATAGTGGACCTTGTAACAAGAAAACACAAGAGGAACTGGATTTTGCTTTGGCTAGACAATTGCAAGCTTCAGAAACTGCTGCAACTCAAACTGCCTCGAGCACTAATTCAAAAGGGAATCAATGCAATGTGTCTTGAAATTGATTTGGAATAAATTTCAACTAAATCATTCCTATTTATTAAAAAAAAATCTCACTTTAGTTAGTTTGTATAAGTGTTCAAAATAATATTTTTTTATTAGTTTTAGGATTAAAAAGACTTGCAAACAGCTTCTGCTTTGTTAAAATTTACACTTTTCTTTGTTAAAATAAAACTACAAAAAATGTTTCAAACTTCCATATGGTTTTTTTTTATCACTTATATAAATTGCTGATTGGTAGTTTCAAATTGCAATGGTAGTAATTGATCTAGATTTAAGCACAAAACATCCTCTGCTGCAGGTTTGGATATGTAGACATCAACATTACCAAATTCGCTCATGAATTGCCTGCAAACTCCACAAGGCGGGGTAAATTTTTTTTCTTGATGGGCAATTACGGCTACAGCTTTAAACTTTCGTTTACCTTGACTAATTGCGTTACTATAAGCTGACCTGAAATTAAATTTGTATAAAAAATAATTGAGTATAAAAGTGTTGTACCTTTCTGCACAAATACCGCCACTAAATGCTGAGTTTTCTATGTTACATCCAGTATATATGGTTCCATCATCGCACAAAACTGCCGAGCCTACTTTAAATTTGCTGTAAGGACAATAAGCGAACTCTCTTGCTTTTGTTGCTTGTCTTATAAGATTTTGAATTGTGTCGTCTATAATCGAATAAAATACACATTAGATAACTTTTGGCAAACATCTATATTTAATTCTTGAATCATTTTATAAATATAAAATCTTGCCTAATGTATTTAATTCTTGCAGGTTTTCCGCTATGAAACCATTTTTCTTGCACTCGGACATGATGTTTTGTTCCTTACACCAAAAAGCTGACTGTACTCAAATAATCAATACTTAACAGAGTAGAGTATCTAAAGTCTGTTTCATTTTTTTAAATAACTGACATTATATTTGGCAGTTGGCAACGCGAGGCTTTCCCATGTAAAAAATTCCAGCACATTCACAGTTTTACATTGTATTGCCAACATAAAACTTAAGTAATATGATAAGATATTGCCAAATATGATATGATTCATGAAAAAATGTAGGTAGGTACTTAAATGAGGGCAAGGTATATGTTGCAATAAAATACCAATTAATTCAGTGTCTATTTATTATCCTATGACCAATAATTAATGACTTATTAGATTTGATTTAAGCTTTAAGCGGCAAACAAATACTTGAAAAATTCTCAGTAGCTACTTAATTTTGAAAAGTAAGTACTTATTTAGCGCAAGGCCATTTTTAAAAGGCCCAAAAATGCACTGTTGTCAGATTTTATTAATTTATCGATTTATTTGAATATGTGGCCTTCTAATCTAAAACAGCTGACTGCCACTCAAAATGTTAGTTTTTGCTACATAAAATAAAATTGTGACTGGGGAAAAATTAATTAAATTGATAAGAAATATTGGCTATCACGAGCACCCACACCGTTTTTTTTTTTTTAATGGTACCCACAGACCACTTTGTGCAATTATGATAAAAATGTTAAATTGTGTTTGATAAAATTATACAGAAAGTGTTTGAAATCATGATGCAAGGAAATTGCTTAGTTTTGGGTCTGTTTTTGTTTATGTACGTGGAAAAAGGGCACTTGTTCCCTACCAGTTCATTTAAAACCGAATGTCCGAGACTTTATCCAAGAGTTTTTAAAGGATACGTTCCCAAAGGCAATATTAGTGCAGGTAAGGACTCACATTCATAAATAGACTATAATTTTTGTAGTTTTGTTTCTATTTATTCAGACAATATGTAAGTACTTAGGTACTTATTAAAAATTTAAACAGAAAAACTTACCAGCCAAGTACTTAATTACGTTTACTTAATTTTGTGAGTACTGCAAAACATAGGAAATATTGTAAACATTTTTTTGAATATAAATGTGGAACGTTTTATGGAAACAAAATGCTGGGTCTTAATGAGCCTTTGGGACCCTACACACTCCATACACTAAATTATTCTGAGATTTGAAAACAAAAGGCACTCAGAAAAAATGAAAAATGATAATTTTACCCCAAATTGCTTAACGCGAATTTATTTCTGGAACTATAAGTCTAATTGAGCTGAAATTTTCAGGGAATGTAGTCCCCTCTAGTAGAATGAGAATCGCTGAAAATTTCATTTTTCTATCTCTAATAGAACAAAAGTTATGATTTTTCAAAGTTTTCAAAAATCCAAATCATAAGGTATTAACTAAGGTATATAAACCTAGCAGTCCCAAGGTGGAGAAAAACTTCGGGAACTATATAATAATTAGGTGCTTTTTAGGTGCTAATTAGGGCCTCTAATTAAAAATTAGGTGCTCCTTTAGTTTTTGAGAAAATCAAAAAAAACTAAGGGACTGTTAGGTTTATAAAAGCTAGCAGTCCCCTATAGTAGAAAATATTTTTTCAAATTTTTCTTTGTATCAGAATTAGGTGCTTTTTAGGTGCTCCTAAATAGTCCAAGAAAAAATAGGATTGATTAATTATTACTTAACTGAGTTACAGATTTTTTTTAAATTATTAAGCGACTGCTGGCGTTTACACGTTGGTGTGTGAGAATGGCAAAAAAACTTCGTGATCTACATAATAATTAGGTGCTAATTAGCGCCTCTACTTAATTAAAAATTAGGAGCTCATCTAGTTTTTGAAAAAATCAAAAAAAACTAAGGGACTGCTAGGTTTATAAAAGCTAGCAGTCCCCTTTAGTAAAAAATATTTTTTCAAATTTTTTCTTTGTATCAGAATTACTTAGGTGCTTTTTTAGGTGCTCCTAAATAGTCGAAGAAAAAATAGAATTGATTAATTATTAACTGAGTTACAGATTTTTTTTTAATTATTAGGGGACTGCTGACCTCACGTTTACTTGTTGGTGTGTCAGAATGGCAAAAAAACTTCAGGATCTATGTAATATACAGGGTGTATATTTTAAGTGATACCACTATTGCTATATCCGAAATGGTAAGAGCTACAGGGTCAGTTGAATTAGAAAAAAGTTGCTTGTTTGATGCCCATTTAGGGCTCGTTTACAGTGTTGCCAAATTCCTTTTAGTTTATGAAATACAGGGTGATATTTCATCATTTATTTCGGAAACTATTGATTTTCGAGAACCAATTTAAATTTGAAAGTTTTATAATTTTTTCCGCTCTACAACATGACATCTTGAAATTTTAAATCCGACGTTTCGTGATCGAGATACCATCATCAACTTACTTTTTTTAAATACGGACCTGGATTTTTTATGTCATTTTTAGGAAGCGCCCTTAATTCTCTTTCCAAAAATGACATACAAAATCCAGGTCCGTATTTAAAAAAATGAAGTTGATAATGGTATCTCGATCACGAAACGTCGGATTTAAAATTTGAAGATGTCATGTTGTAGAGCGAAAAAAATTATAAAACTTTCAACAATCAAAGATATTAAAAACAAATCTTCATCTGGGACTGATGGACTCACCCTCAAAATGTTCTCTAATCTTCCTGATTGCACATTAAAACATCTTACTACTCTGATCAACAAGTCGTTTCTAAATGGAGCTTTTCCAAACTGTCTTAAGATGGCGATAATTATCCCACTGCATAAGGGAGGTGATAAGGAGCTACCTTCAAACTATCGCCCCATTGCACTCCTTCCTACGCTATCAAAGATCATAGAAAGATTGGTTAAAAAGAGGCTTCTATCATTTCTCTCTAAATATAATATTCTAACTAACAGTCAATTCGGTTTCCTAAGTAACAAATGTACTAATGATGCAATGTTTTCCCTTTTCAATAATGTATACTCCAGCCTGAACTGCCACCACTCTACAGCCTCAATTTTCTGTGATTTCTCCAAAGCTTTCGACTGTGTTAATCATAATATCTTAATTAACAAATTACAGTTCTACGGTTTCAGAGGAATGGCTCTCAAATGGTTTAAGTCTTATCTTGGTAACAGAAGTCAGCTTGTGAGGGTGGACTCGACCATGTCCTCTTGTAAACCAATTGAATGTGGTGTGCCTCAGGGTTCAGTTCTTGGCCCTATTTTGTTCCTGCTATTTATTAACGACATTGCTAGTCTGGATATTAGCGGCAAAGTTTGTCTCTTCGCAGACGATACTAGTTTCACTTGGAGCAACCCGGATATTACGGAACTCCAAAGAACTGTATCTAGTGACTTAATCACCATCAAATCATGGTGTGACTCAAATCTCCTGTGCCTCAACCTCTCTAAAACCAAAGTTTTATCTTACCGAGCTTCGCTCCAATCTGTAGTACTGGATAACAATACCATGGAGGCCGTTGATTCCGTGAAATTCCTGGGGTTTGTTGTTGATAAATCTCTAAAGTGGGACCTGCATATCGACGCCTTAGCAAAGAAATTAAGTTCGGCCTGTTTTGCACTGAGATCTGTTTCCAGGGAGCTTAACTCGGCAACTTGCAGGATGGTATATTATGCTCTTTTTGAGTCGCATTTACGTTACGCCCTTCCATTCTGGGGCACGTGTTGTGCGTTTCAATTTGAACGCATTTTTAGACTGCAGAAGAGAGCTCTTCGTTATTCTTTGGGACTTGGTAGTAGGACTCACTGCCGGGAATTTTTTATCAAGTCTAATATATTGACTCTTCCATCTTTATTTATTTTCGAATCCGTCTGCTTAATTCGTAAGCACTTAATATCAGCTATCTCAGAGAGGCCATCTCACAATTATCCACTGAGGAACGCAGAGTTGGATCTTTATCTGCTAATCCCGCGCTCAGAGTTAGTTAAAAGTTCAATACTTTATAATGCTAAAAAGATGCATAATCATCTACCGCCTAACATCAGGTCCATTGCATCTTTTCTCGAATTTCGCAGGGCGTTGAAGGTGTATTTTCTGGGGAGAGCCTTGTACACAGTAAGCGAGTTGTTTATGGTTTCCTAATTCTAAATTTTGAGCAGCTTACTCACAGGTTTTGTTTTTGTTCCTGTATCATGATAGGTTATTATAAGTTATTGTTTGTTTGTTTTTTTAGTACCTATAATATGCTTACTCGCACAGTATAAGCAGTTATACCTAGATGTTTGTTTATTAGTTTTAATTAAATTTTCACCATGAACTATTTGTTCAAGTGTTTGGTTTTGTCTGTGCTTTTGCATTTGTATGTTTTGTTTTTTATTTTTTCAGCTTTGTCCACAAAATTGTAAAATCTTCTGACAATAAAGCAAATTCTTTCTTTCTTTCTTTCTAACAACATAAAAAAATCTTGAACATCAACATTAAAAATTTGATCAAAAACATTCCTTCACATTTTAATGCTTTCATGAAAAACTGTCTGGGTGAATATTGTCACACAAGGCCCTTTCGGCTCGTGAGGGTTAGACCTGAGGTTAGGGTTTGCTCTGCAGGAAAACACACAACTACAACGGGAATAGTGTATATTGTCGTCCAATAGGTACATTACCAAAGGGGCACTACCTGCATTCATAAACCTAGCAGTCCCTTAGTTTTTCTTGATTTTCTCAAAAACTAAAGGAGCACCTAATTTTTAATTAGAGGCCTTAATTAGCACCTAAAAAGCACCTAATTATTATATAGATCCCGAAGATTGTTTTTCATTCTGACACACCAACATGTAAACGTAAAGCCAGCAGTCCCCTAATAATTAAAAAAAAATTTGTAACTCAGTTAATAGTTAATCAATTTTATTTTTTCTTCGACTATTTAGAAGCACATAAAAAGCACCTAATTCTGATACGAAAGAAAATTTTGAAATAGTATATTAAAATACAAGTTGCAGAAGGCCACATATTCTCGCATGAATTCGAAATTTGGACACGAGCGATGAAGGACAATACGTGCGTAAAGCACCTTTTTTCACTCATGTTCAAATTCACATTCGTGAAAAAAAATTCACTTTACACACTTGTTGCATAAATAACTATTTTGCTATAGGGGACTTCTAGCTTTCATAAACCTAGCAGTCCCTTAGTTTTTTTTTGATTTTCTCAAAAACTAGAGGAGCACCTAATTTTTAATTAGAGGCCCTAATTAGCACCTAAAAAGCACCTAATTATTATATAGATCCCGAAGTTTTTTTGCCATTCTGACACACCAACAAGTAAACGTAAAGCCAGCAGTCCCCTTATATGTAATTTTTAAAAAATCTGTAACTCAGTAAATAATTAATCAATTCTATTTTTTCTTCGGCTATTTAGGAGCTCCTAAAAAGCACCTAATTATGATACAAAAGAAAATTTTGGAAAAATATTTTTCACTATAGGGACTACTAGCTGTCATGAATCTAGCAATCCCTTAGTTTTTTATGATTTTTTCAAAAACTAGAGGAGCACCTAATTTTTAATTAGATTCCCTAATTAGCACCTAAAAAGCACCTAATTATTATATAGATTCCGAAGTTTTTTTGCCATTCTGACACACCAACAAGTAAATGTAAAGCCAGCAGTCCCTTTATAGGTGATTTAAAAAAAAATCTGTAACTCGGTAAATAATTAATCAATTCTATTTTTTCTTCGGCTATTTAGGAGCACCTGAAAAGCACCTAATTCTGATACAAAAGAAAATTTTGGAAAAATATTTTTCACTATAGGGACTACTAGCTTTCATAAATCTAGCAATCCCTTAGTTTTTTATGATTTTCTCAAAAACTAGAGGAGCACCTAATTTTTAATTAGAGGCCCTAATTAGCACCTAAAAAGCACCTAATTATTATATAGATCCCAAAGTTTTTTTTTTCATTCTGACACACCAACATATAAACGTAAAGCCAGCAGTCCCCTAATAATTAAAAAAAAATCTGTAATTCAGTTAATAATTAATCAATTCTATTTTTTTTTCAACTATTTAGGAGCACCTAAAAAGCACCTAATTCTGATACAAAAGAAAATTTTGAAAAAACATTTTTTACTATAGGGGACTTCTAGCTTTCACAAACCTAGCAATCCCTTAGTTTTTTTTTTGATTTTCTCCAAAACTAAAGGAGCACCCAATTTTTAAATAGAGGCCCTAATTAGCACCTAAAAAGCACCTAATTATTATATAGTTTCCGAAGTTTATTTCCACAATTGATGAAATTTCAAATTTTTTAATGTTGAGATTCTGTATCTAAGTAAATGATCATTGGGGACACCGCAAACTCCATACACTAAATTATTCAGAGATTTGAAGCCGAAATCTATGAAAAAGGAAAGGGCACTCAGAAAAATTAAAAAATTGATAATTTATCCCAAATTGCTTAACGCGATTTTATTCCAGAAACTAGAAGTCCAAATGAGCTGAAATTTTCAGGGATTATAGTCCTCTAGTAGGATAAGAATCACTGAAAATTTCAGCTTTCTATCTATAATAGAAAAAAGTTATGATTTTTCAAAGTTTTCAAAAATCCAAATCATAAGGTAGGTACTAAATGATGAAATTTCAATTTTTTTTATGTTGAGAGTCTGTATCTAAATGATCATTGAGGACTCCCAAACTTCATACACTAAATTATTCTGAGATTTGAAGCTGAAATCTATGAAAAAAGGCACTCAGAAAAATTGAAAAATTGATAATTAACCCCAAATGGGTTAACGATCGGGTTAACGCGATTTTATTTCAGAAACTATGAGTCTGATTGAGCTGAAATTTTTAGGAATTGTAGTTCTCTACTGGAATAAAAATCGCTGAAAATTTCAGCTTCCTATCTCTAATAGAAAAAAGGTTATGATTTTTCAAAGTTTTCAAAAATCCAAATCATAGGGTAGTCAAATGATGAAATTTCAAATTTTTTTCTGTTAAGATTTGTAGGTACCAGGTACACAAGTGTGCTCCCGCTGCAGCGACAATTTTATTGTAAACAAAAAGTATGTAACCTGTGAATTTTGCCAAAATAAATATCATTTACATTGCGTTAATGTTAAAGATCAGTTTCAAAAAGTTATTAGCGACTCTAAAAATTTGTTTTGGATGTGCGATGTTTGTTTAATATCAGTGCCTGAACAAATTAAGATAAGCGAACATTTGGCAAGAGTTGAAAAGCAGACAAAGGAATGTAAAATGCACACGGAGAACCTAGTGCAAGTAGTGCAGCATTTAGAACGTAGGGAACCATCACAGCCAAATCAACTATGGCCAGACGTTGTTAAGCAAAAAAATCCACTATTAATAATAAGACCAAAAAATGCAAATCAAAATAGCAAAGCAGCAAGCAAACATCTTGAGGATGTAGAAGTTTTTTTGCATCGCATAAAAAGTCAAAACTGCTCAAGTTGGTTAGATTTGGATATTAAGTTCATTAGGAAATATATCCCATTCAATAAGAAGTCCTATAATGTAATATTAAAAGTGTCGCCAGTCATTTTTAAATATTTTGTAAATAGCAAAAAAGTTTTCTTGGAATGGGACAGCTTTCTGGTTTTTGAACATATTGCAGTAATGCGATGTTTTAAGTGCTGCAAGTACGGTCACAAAGCGGAACATTGTAAAGTGGAACAAATTATAATGTCCCTTATGCAATCAGAATCATAATAGTGCAGATTGCCAATAAGATTCATTCAAATGTACAAATTGTAAGCATGCTTCGCAAGTGTTAAAAATACCAAGAATTGAATTCAATCACACTGTATTTGATAGAAACTGTCTTTGTTATAAGAGAGCGCAAGAAAAACAACAAAATAGAATAGGAGTAGCAATTAAAAGGGTCTTATGCATATGGAGTTGATGAAGCTATATAGATATTCTTCACGTCAATATACAAGGAATAGCATCAAATATGTTGAAGTTGGCTGATTTCTTGAATAAAAATAGTCCGTGCATCATGTGTGTCACAGAAACCCATGTGACATTAGATATTGACGATGCAGAATTTGCTGTTCCTGATTATGTTGTGTATTACTCTGACAGTTGACATACAGGAGGGGCTGTGATTTATCTTAGAAATTGTTCTAGATTCAAAGTGATTTATAATGAATCAGTAACTGGTACCTAAGTATTGGATGTTTATCCTCAACATTCATATATCAAACTGAATACAGTTATAGTTGGTACATGCTACAGATCTCTCAACTCTAAAGCCAATGATTTTTTGGAAGTGCTACAAGAAAAGTTGAATGAAGACACTATTCAAGAAAATACTTCATATATATTGGGAGACTTAAATGTTGACTTAATGACGATTACAAGCAGGGCAAAAAAATATAAGGGAGTTTTTGAGGCCTCTGCCTTTAGGCAAATCGTAACAAGGGCATTACAGGTTACAAACACCTCATCGACCCTTTTAGATCACATTATTACTAATAATTTTGATGCTATAGAATTGCCACTATTATAAGTGATCATCAAATTGTGGCTATTCAGCTTTTGCTCAAGATCTCAAGAAAAACCACTCCTTAGACAGTATCGAAACCTGAATGACAATGCCATCTCAGCATTAATTATAGAACTTATAGGCTGGAATTATTCATTTGTAGACGCAAACGTCTTATATACCAACCTTATGATGCATAATATACAAAGTGCTCTTGATACCAATGCACCAGTCAAACAGTCTCGGACGAAAAGATATACATGGACCTCAGAAGAAGTGCGTAAAGCTCAGAAAGAAAGAGATCTTGCATATAGGAGATTCTGTATAACTAAGCAGGAAGAAGATTGAGCACACTATAGGAAAAAAAGAAATACAGCCACTTCAAAACTACGCTCAGGAAGAAAAAAGTTTTTCGAGTCCAAGATTGATGGTTGCAGAGGAGATGGCAAAAAAATGTGGAAGACTCTCAAGGACTAAGAAACGATCACCAATTACTCAGAGTTTAATTTTGGATCATACACAGGGAAAGTCAAGGATAATTTCAATGACTTTTATTTGGATAGTCTAAAAGAAGTGATTGATAGTATCGACAAAGTACACTGGGATGGTTCTAATCTCATCAGAAATAATACATTCATTTTCCCTCATTTAAGTTATTGTATGTCTCTTTTGATCTCATGTAACAAAGAGGTTCCAAACACATATTCTGTGTACCTAGTAAGTTACATGCTGTAAACCTAATTTGTAAATTTGAAAAATTGTAAGCTTTAGTAGCCAATAGTGCTATATAAGTAATCATTTTATTTCATTTATATTCCTAATAGAAAAAAAGTTATGATTTTTCAAAGTTTTCAACAATCCAACTCATAAGGTTAGGTATTTTATCTTAGTAAGTACTAAAATGATGAAATTTCAAATTTTTTTATGTTGGGATTTTGTATCTAAATGATCATTGGGGACCCCCCAAACTCCATACACCAAATTATTCTGAGATTTGAAGCCGAAATCTATGAAAAAAGGCACTCAGAAAAATTGGAAAATTGATAATTTACCCCAAATTGTTTAACGCAATTTTAATCCAGAAACTATAAATCCAAATGAGCTGAAATTTTCAGGAACTGGGATAAGAATCGCTGAAAATTTCTGGTGGCTAGAAATTGCTCAATAAACAACAAGAAGAGTTTCTCACAGTAATTGCTGTCTGAAAAAAAAGATAATATGTGAGATTTGAAACAATAGTACCTACCTTTGTAAAGGAGCATTTGAGAAAATTTGCATAATTCCTAAAATGTTTGTATCACATATTAATAATTATTCATTTTTCAAATATAGGATTCTTTGAAGAAATCACAGATTCGAGCACTCTGAAACCTTGCGTCCAAACCTGCTGCCTGAAACCTTCATGCCATGTTGCCTTCATGACTGACGACAAGTGCTATCATATTACCTGCACCAGCAATGAACTTTGTGTTCCCACCATGAACATGAACCCAAACACGGTTGATCATGTGGCTATGGTACTAGTGAAACCCACCGATGATGATACTTGGGAAGATGTTTTAGCTGCACAAGGTATAAAAATGATATATTAATTCAAAAAATTACAATATTTGTTTTAGAATTTTCAAAATCCCTTCTAGACCGTCAAATGTACTCAATATTAAGCGACAGAAATAGATTTGAAAATGCATATAATAATTTAGAAAAAGACATATTATTCGATGAAGCCTTTTATGGAATGAGCTGTGAGGTAGGTGTGGAGAATTCTTGTCAGCTACCCAATGAAATTTGTGTGCCAAAACGTGAAAGATCAAGAAACGGCATATGTGAATGCAGACCAGGCTTTACTAGGCAAGAAGAGGGCGTTTGCTTTGCAGTAGAACTAAACAACATAAGATTGCCAGATGTTATAACTGAAAAAATTCTGGATGTGGCTAACAAATCAGCTCCTGTAACAAGACAGCATTTAACAGTCTTAGCAGAGTCTAAACAAGTTAAGTTGCCTGTGAACGAAGTCACATTAACAGTAAAAACTCCTGAAGAGGACCCAGACAACAAATACCAATATGAATGGACTCCTTTGCACCAACCAGATGGAAGCACCGCTGTCAAACATCAAAACGACAACGAATTACATTTGGAAAAACTATCAGAAGGACTCTATAGCTTTAAAGTTAGTGTTTCCACAACGACCTCCTATGGAGAGACTTTTGTCAACGTATCAGTACTGCCTGAGGCACGAATCAACACTCCTCCAACAATAGTCATAACTCCAGCCAATCAGACAATAAAACAACCCAATACTGCAGCTGTATTGGACGCGTCATCTTCAAAGGATGATGATGGAATTATCAGTTGGCATTGGGAGTTGCAACAAGGACCTTTAGGTTATCAGCCAGAACTTAAAGATAGTCCTACTTTGCAACTGAATGATTTGACTAAACCTGGCAATTATACTTTTAAATTAACAGTGACAGATACTGATAAGGCTAGCAGTGTTAGTACTGCTAATATTACTGTTTTGGCTGTTACTGATTATCCACCAGAAGCTAATGCAGGTAAGGATCTTGTCTTTGAACAAAATTGTATCATCTATTACGTCTCTATTTGTGGTTTTCAGAACTGTAGATTGTGTATTTTTGTGTTAAGTTAATTAGAAAAATAATTACTTATTGTCGCTTTTTTTCAAGGTGAAGACAAAATAATCTATTTGCCTCACAACAACATAACATTAAATGGTAGTCTAAGCACTGATGACCATGCAATCACTACTTGGGAATGGACAAAATCGTCTGATGATGCTCAAAAAACTGTCGATATGCAAGACACTAGAACGCCTTATTTGAAATTGTCCAACTTACAAGAAGGTCTGACATTTTAGTAAAATTATGAAGGTTTTTTAAACCAAAAATCGTTTTTAGGAATGTATACTTTTACCCTAAAAGTAACGGACAGTACAAATCAATCTAGCACTGCTCAGGTGCACGTTTTTGTTAAACCACCCACAAATAAACCACCTGTAGCTGAAGCTGGACAAAATATAACAATCAGGTAAATTGACTATTTGGCAAACATAAGCACAAGGGGAAAAACCACCTAGGAATTCTTTGCCAAAAATGTCGGGAATTTAGAGAAATTTGTGGGGAATTTGAAGGAACTCATCGGAATTTATAGGAAATTTGGAGTAATTTGTGGGAGATTTGGGAGAATTTGTAAGGAATTTAAAGGAATTTTTGGGGTCATGACGTCACTGAGGTTCACGTTCTTATCATAAAAAATAGTAATTAATGGGAATTTGAAAAAAAATCTTGTTTTGTGTTGGACGTTGGATATTCATTTTTATTAAAGAAATTCTCCCAAAATTTCACTTCATGATTTACAGGTCCAAATTTAAAAAATTCAAAAGAATAATGAATTTTTTGTAGGCTGATTTCCAAGATTTTTCATGTTGTTATTTTCCACTGGAAAAATTTAAAATTTTGGGAAAATGAGCTTCTAACCTTCCTCTTTACATGCAAAAAGTTTCAAATTTCTCACTTCACTAGTTTTCCAGGAAAACAATGAAATGTGTGAGACTGTATTTTCAACAATTCAGTTTTTGTAGGTTGATTTCCAAGATTTTTCATGTTATTATTTTCCATTGGAAAAATCAGCTTCTCACCTTCCTCTTTACGTTCAAAAATTTCCAAATTTCTCCCTTCACTAGTTTTCCAGGAAAACTTTGAAATGTGTGAGACAGTATTTTAAATGAATTCAGTTTTTGTAAGTTGATTTCCAAGATTTTTCAGGTTATTATTTTCCACTGGAAAAATCAGCTTCTCACCTTCCTCTTCACGTGCAAAAATTTTCAAAATTTTCCCTTCACTAGTTGTCCAGGAAAACTTTGAAATGTGTGAGACAGTATTTTCAATTAATTCAGTTTTTGTAAGTTGATTTCCAAGATTTTTCATGTTATTATTTTCCACTGGAAAAATCAGCTTCTCACCTTCCTCTTTACATGCAAAAAGTTTCAATATTTTAACTTCACTATTTTTCTGGGAAAACTTTGAAATGTGTGAGACTCTATTTTCAACTAATTCAGTTTTTGTAGGTTGATTTGCAAGATTTTTCATGTTGTTATTCTCCACTGGAAAAATTTTAAATTTTGGGAAAATGAGCTTCTAACCTTCCTCTTTACATGCAAAAAGTTTCAAATTTCTCCCTTCACTAGTTTTCCAGGAAAACTTTGAAATGTGTGAGACAGTATTTTAAATTAATTCAGTTTTTGTAGGTTGATTTCCAAGATTCTTCATGTTGTTATTTTTCACTGGAAAAATTTGAAATTTTGGGAAAATGAGCTTCTAACCTTCCTCTTTACATGCAAAAAGTTTCAAATTTCTCCCTTTACTAGTTTTCCAGGAAAACTTTGAAATGTGTGAGACAGTATTTTCAATTAATTCAGTTTTTGTAAGTTGATTTCCAAGATTTTTCATGTTATTATTTTCCACTGGAAAATTTTGAAATTCTGGGAAAATGAGCTTCTCACCTTCCTCTTTACATGCAAAAAGTTTCAATATTTTTCCTTCACTATTTTTGCAGGAAAACTTTGAAGTGTGTGAGACTTTATTTTCAACTAATTCAGTGTTTGTAGGTTGATTTGCAAGATTTTTCATGTTGTTATTCTCCACTGGAAAAATTTTAAATTTTGGGAAAATGAGCTTCTCACCTTCCTCTTTACATGCAGAAAGTTTCGAAATTTTCCCTTCCCTAGTTTTCCAGGAAAACGATGAAATGTGTGACTGTATTTTCAACTAATTCAGTTTTTGTACGTTAATTTCAAACATTTTTCATGTTGCTGTTTTCCACCGGAAAAATTTGAAATTTTGGGAAAATGAGCTTCTTACCTTTCTCTTTACATGCAAAAATTTCCATTAACTAGTTTTCCAGGAAATCTTTGAAATGTGTGATACTGTATTTTCAATTAATTCAGTTATTGTAGGTTGATTTCCAATATTCCTTATGTTATTTTCTATTGAAAAAATTTGAAATTTTGGGAAAATGAGCCTTTAATCTTTCCACTCTTCATATGCAAAAAGTTTCAAATATTTGCCTTCACACCTCAAATTCGCAGGGAATTTGTGGGGTATTTGGAGAAGTTCGTGGTGGGGTATTGGAAGAATCTGTGATGGGGTATCTGGAGGAATTTGTGAGGAATTATGCGTAAAAAAATCCCCGTTGAGGAATTGTTTGCACAAATTATAGGATGGTGGTTTACTCTTTGCATAAGCAAATCTGATCTGATTTTTTTTAGTCTGCCTCAAACATGGACCATAGTAGACGGTTCCAACAGTACTGATGATAATCACATTGCCTCATTCAAATGGGAACAAGTTGAGGGTCCATCCACAGTAACATTTGAAAATTTAAATTCCAGCAAAACTAATGTTACTGGCCTCACCAAAGGCCAATACACACTCAAACTCAGTGTGACCGATGATAATAATAATGTAGCTAGTGACACAATGTATATTATTGTTAATCAAAGTAAGTTACCTACTTGTTTGTTTTCATTATATTTATTATACATAATTTAATTTTTTCAAGATAAAAACCAGAAGCCTACTGCTAACGCAGGTCCTGATTTAACAGTAGAGCTACCAATAAATGGTTTAATAATTAATGGTTCAGAGTCCAAAGACGATTGGGAAATTGTCAAATGGCAATGGATAAGAGATGAAAAATCTTTGGCCGTTGGCAACATTGTTGAAAAAAGCGACCAGTCCCCAATACTGATTCTAACAGATGTTTCAGTCGGCACATACATATTTAATTTAACTGTTTCTGACAAGCAAGGCCTTGAAGACACTGATTCGGTTACAGTTGTTGTCAAAAATGATCCAAAACTTTTCTTTTTAGTTGAATTAATTGTTGATGTTGATTCTAAATTCTTAACAGAAGCTCAATTTGACAATATGAAAGCTAAACTAGCTTTATTAGTCAAAGAAGGCTCTAAACTTGTAGTAAGAAATGTCAAACCTGAAGCAGGCACTGGCAGGGTTAAATTAACGTTTTATATAGAGGACAGTAATAGTCAGCCAGTAGGAGCCAATGAAGTTGTGAAGCATTTAAGACAAAAATTACTAGTTGATGCCAGTTTATTGAGTTTTTCTGTGGCTAAATTACAAACAGCTATTTGTCAAAATAATTGTTCAGGGCATGGAGTTTGCAGTGAAGTTACTAGGGAGTGTGAGTGTGAAGTTTTTTGGATGCATGTAAGAATTTTAATTTTTTTTTTTTTCAATTACCTAACATTAATATATTTTTTATTAATCAATAGGACATGTTCAAAGTCTATTTGAAATCAGCCGATGATTCAGATTGCAGCTGGAGCGTCCTCTATGTAGTCTTGGGCTTAATATGCAGTGTCCTAACATTCTTCGGATTCACTTGGGCCTTGGTTTATTTGTGTTATAGATGGTGCCACAGGAGACATGATACAGCTCAGCCTACAAATTATAAGCTCCTGGAAGACGCTGATGATATGCCACCATGTAAGTAGCAAATTGCTTTTAACTTATCAAATACTAAAAATGTGTCCTCAGTTTCCTCAAGGAAAACTAACCTTTCGGACAGTGACACTGATTCAGATGTGGTTTTTGAAACTCGCTCGAAACCTCCAAGGTTTTCAGATACAAGGAATGGCCACAAACCTAGCCGTAATGGGTTTACTAAACAAAATAGGAGGGTTAAAACTTGAGTTAGTTAATCGAGAGCAAATTGCACATTGATATTGTGATACCCGAATTTTTAGAGTTGAGGAATTTTTTTGCACTTTTACTTTGTGTGCAATTTTATGTCTTAATTGTTCATTTAACCACTATTTTTGTGCCACTTTATGTAATAATTATTGTGGGTGTTGGAATGTAGCGGTTTGTATATACAGGGTGCTTTTTTTGTTACCAGTATTTCTAGTCACAGTTGAATTAATGATTCAGAGGTAAGTTTAATATTATGTTGAAAAGCAGCATTACAAATTAAATTAGAATACTGAAATAGTGTTTTCATAAAAACGAAATTCCCAAGTGTTTGTGAAGCGTTTAAAGTTGTTTTAGTATGTTTTATTTATTTTTAAAGCTTTTTTACTTGTATGTATTGTATCTACTTAGAGATAATCAATATTGTGTACTTATATTCTTTATAAAACTTGTCCAATAAAAATTATTATACTATAAATTAATTATTGCTTCTTATTTGGATACAATAGTACATTATATAGCTAGGTAGAGAAGTTGGTCATTATATACCGAGCGCTTTTATAATCCAAGGCGCGAAGCGCCGAGGTTTATAATGCGTAAGGTATACCTATAATGACTTTCTCTACCGAGGGATATATAGAATTTTTTTTACTACTGCTAGTAGAAAATAAGAAATAGGTTTGAAACCTGTGTTCAAATTATTTTCTCTTGTCAGAAGTGCTGGAAAAAAACAATTATTGCGCCTTCATTTACAGTCGGAAATGAGATGTTGTACCCATACTTATACAGGGTGGTCCATTTAAATTGAGACATTTCAATATCTCGAAAATGGCACGTTTTTGAAACAAAATAATTCAATAATGTCTTAAGTTCAATGGCCCACCCTGTATACCTATTGTATATCGTGTCGTGGGCTAGAAACTTTAAATTACCAATTTGAAAGCATCGACAATTTAACATTGATTTGCCAACATAATATCATTTTGTGTGTTCGAAAATAGAAAATTTCCTCAAAAAGGCAAAAAGGGATAATTCCGTCAAGCTGGCAACACTGTGGCTGACTCGTTATCAAACGCAAGGATATCAACAAACCATTTGATAGGTTGGATATAGGCTCCGCCCCTTTCCAATCAGATGCGAGTGATATCAGCGGGGCATTTAATTGGTTAGTTGAGCCCCGCCCCTTTCCGGGGTTTATGTATGTCAAGGTATTTGATTAGTTGTTTCCTTTCGGTACCGCCGCCATATTCTTGTAAATTTTGAATATGAATATAGAAGTTGGCTACGCCCCTGCAGCCATATTTTTGCACATTTTTTGATGTCTACTCAGGTATTATTATTAATATTATTATTATCAAAGTAGCTATATGTTTATTTATTCTTTATTTGTCAATTTTTCCATCTCATATTTTGTCTATTCCCGGATCTTGAATTTTTCTTTTCTTCTTAATTTTTCTAATGGCCATTTCCACCAACTATTTTAGGGAAGCCCTAACAATAGGTATGCCTTAAACTGATATTTCTCCATGTAAAAATGTCATTTTAGGGAATACTTATCGTTAGGGCTGAAATAGTTGAGGTTTGTAATGCGTGATGCGTGAGGTATATAATGACTTTCTCTACCGAAAAATAGATTTTTTTTTTACTACTGCCAGGCTGCTAGGGCCGATTTTTCAATAGCGAGTCACCCCCGGGTTGGTTTTAACTCCAGGGTTAACGTGTCAAATTACAATGTTTACCCTGGAGTTAGCTTAACCCGGAGGTGACCTGCTATTGAGAAACCGGCTAGTGGAAAATGAATAATTTGTAATTTATATATATATATATATATATATATATACACAGGTTGTATATTTTAAGTGATACCACTATTGCTATATCCGAAACGGTAAGAGCTACAAAGTCAGTTAAATTATAAAAAAGTTGCCTTTTTGATGCCCATTTAAGATTCGTTCACAGTGTTGCCAAATTCGTTCGAGATATATCGTTAAAAAGGGAACAAATGGTGCTTTCTAGAAATGACATAAAAATCCAGGTCCGTATTTAAAAAAATCAAGTTGATGATGGTAGCTCAATCACGAAACGTCGGATTCAAAATTTGAAGATGCCATATTGAAGAGCGAAAAAATTTATAAAACTTTCAAATTTAAATTATGTCCTAAAAATTAATAGTTTTCGAAATAATTGATGAAATATTTTTAGGCGTTTTTTTAGAAATCACCCTGTATTTCCTAAACTAAAAGGAATTTGGCAACACTGTAAACGAGTCTTGAATGGGCATCAAAAAAGGCAATTTTTTTCTAATTTAACCGACCCTGTAGCTTTTACCGTTTCAGATATAGCAATAGTGGTATCACTTAAAATATACACCCTGTATATATATTTTTTTAAAATTGACGCATAAAATTGAAATTGAACCAATAGAAACATGACAATATCCTTGCGTCATGACGTCATTTTCATTATTGACCTAGGTATTTTTTCATTATTTTCATTATTCACCTAGGGAGAGAAATTCAATTTTTTCCTAGAAAAATAGATTGAATAATGTCTATTTCTCAGGTTAGTAGTAAAAAAAATTGATTTATTGCACTCAAAACTAATACAATAAAGTGATGTAACAAAATGATGGTGCCTCACAACTTTTTGCTTTTTTGTTCAGTGACTAATTATCTCCCGTCTCTCCACTTTTTTCCACAACTTTTACAATACTATCTCCTAAAAATATTTGAGGAATATCATTCCCAAAATACGTCTTTGTATTTTTAGCTAAAGATTCATATTTTTTCAATTCTATATACTCTTTAGTGAATAATATTTGATTAACTTCAGCTTGCTGCTTCATTTTGTAAAACTCCGCATCCGCTTGCGCTCTTTCCCTGGCCACATGCATTTCGTCTTCGATTTGCGACATGCGCTGCAAAGATTCCTTTTCCATTATTTTTTGGTCAAATTGAATTTTGGCTACGAGGGCTTCTTTTTCTGCATCAATTATGGCGCGTTTTCTGTCAGTTTCCGCGTCTTTTTCTACAACTCTTTGGTGTTCTATGGATATTAGTAATTTGGTTTTTTCTCCTTCCATTAGTTCATAGTTTTTGCGTATGGGTTCTGGAATTTTTGGTTTTGTTACTCTCACCGCTTGGATTGTTAACCCTGGGGCCATTTCTAGAAGATCTCTTTGTAATGCCTAAAAAAATCATAGTCTCTTGCAGAATAATTTCAACACTACTGTTGGGATAATTGGTGTGGATAGAAATAGTTGAGAAAGTTCTCTGATGGGTTTTATCAACTTATCATTGGAAAAAGGTATTTTCCCTTAGAGATAGAGATAGATATTTCCATGGGGCAAACCACCTAAGTTTTCTTTGTCAAAACTGTAGGGAATTTAGAGGAATTTGTGCAGAATTTATGGGATTGACAACTGAATGAGCAATGAGAAACAGAGAAAAAATACTGGCATTCTTTCTCAAATAAATCTAATACTAACCTGTTTCAAATTTTCATCAATTTGATCAAAAAGATCAATGTAAACTTCGTGCAAAGTGTGTATACTGCAAAACTGGTTCAGTTCGTGATGTACTTTATTGAAAATTAACGTGCTATCGTAATCTGCAGTGTAGTTTCTTACTATATCCATAACTGAAAATTGGAAATTATTCAACCATAGTAAAATTTGAATATTGCAATTTCTTACCGCTATTAACATTTAGGTAATTCACAACTTCAATTCTATCGAAATAAATCATAACTCCTCCACTTGTGCCGCAAGGAACATTTGTAACTTCATCAGTTTGCAGTGTAACCTTTAAATTAGGAGTAAGTCTATAAAAAATAACTAATTTAAGTTTTTACCTGAACACTTTTGTATGATGTTAATAAAGGTATCATCATATGATATCCGGGATAGCTCATTTTGGGCAATAGAGCCCCTCCCTACAAGGAAATTTGTGAAGGAAACATTGGCAAAATTGTGTTTTCTTACTCTGAAATATACAGCAACGTGTCCTTCTTCGATTCTATGCAAGGAAAAATGAGAAATTATGAAAATCGTAGATAAAATACCGCCAATTAAGAGATGTTCCATGAGAGAATTATAAGTTAACAAAGGCATTATGAGAATTAAGAAAATTTTAAATATTTCTATAGTAATGAAAGTTAACACATTTGAAAAAGATGAATCATTCCATGTTGATTGATTTTTGTTATGAACAGTTTAAAAATAAATATATTAAAAATTTAAATAGTTGTATTGATTTTTTTCTAGGTTATGTTATTATTCAATTGACAACGCTCTTCTTTTTGTGCTCCAATAGCTTGGTCCAAGTTCACTTGGACTTGGACCAAATAAAGCCAGGTTGATACTGTCCAAGTGTACTAGGATCAATCAACTGTTAATCCATAGGCATTGGGTTCTGTCATTCAAGGAAGTAGGCTGGACTTGGTCCAAGTTGTTATCCAAGTGCACTTGGACCGTGTAAACCTGGCTTGGTTGACTAAAGCCGGAATGACACGGTCCAAGTGCACTTGGATGATAACTTGGACCGAGTAAGTTGGCAGCCAGCCTACTTACTTAGATTTAGATGAGAACCGTTGATACAATCTAAAGTATCGTATTGTACAAGTACATTTGGACTGTGCCAAGCTGGTTTTAAGGGCGGGAAAGGCAGTGATGCCGCATGTTTTAGGTTCTTCATTTCATCTATGAGCATCTACCTTCATCTATAAAAAAAGGCATTATTGCAATTTCTGTGAGAAGGGTTTTTCGATTACAAATACCAAAGACTACTTTACCGCACACTATGCGGTAAATTAACTGTGAAGAAGTGCTACTTTCCAATTGCAAATAATTTCCTATATAAAACTGTAACGTTTTATTTTTATCATTGTTGGTTTATGGCTTAAAATCCATATCGGCTGATAAAGGGTAAGTTTCTCACCTTAGCAAGAGTGCCTATTTCGTTTATTCTTCATGATTAAGTATTCAGAGAATCTTATTGAGAAGGCTTGGAGTCAGGTTTTTGTTTCCGTGTAACATTGTTGGACAAATTCCCTAAACTACCGTCTCCAACATTTGGCGCTCAGAAACACTAACACGAATACTTACGATGAGACTGAAATTGCCTATTGCTTCGCAGACCAGTTCCAGAGAGTCTTCACTCAAGAAGATAACAACCTACCAACTCTTTCACCTGAACTAAGCATCACTGCAGAGATAAGTAATATAGAATTCACCCTAGAAAAAGTATACAAATGGCCATTTCTTCTCTAAAGGCGGATTCTAGTCCAGGTTCTGATGAAATTCCATCCCTCTTTCTGAAAAACTGCTCCAAATCGCTCTCTAGTCCTATAGTCACTATTCTAAACTCTATAATGAAAGAAGCTCCTATTCCAGAAATATGTGGAAATTATCAATAGTTGTACAAATCTTTAAAAAGGGGACAAACTGGAACCATCAAATAACAGACCAATAAGTCTCACTAGCGTACTCTGCAGATGCATGGAGAAAATCCTAGTGAATGAGCTAACATCTTTTTTACTAGAACAGCAAGTAATACCTGATTCTCAGCATGGGTTCTTACCAAGAAGATCAACATTCACTAACCTGCTAGAAAGATTCAACAAATGGACTCAAATGGATGACAGTAATACACCATTTGACATTGTCTACATAGATTTTGAAAAAGCTTTTGATAAGGTACCTTTCAGGAGACTCCTGCAGAAATCAAAGCATAATGAAATACAGGAGAATGTGCGTAGAGTTATTAGCGAACTTATCCAAGGAAGCACCTTCCAAGTAAAAATAGGCAATGTTCTTTCCAGTAGTTGCGAGGTGCATAGCGGAGTACCACAGGGCTCGGTAATTGCAACTTTGCTGTTTATAATATACCTACATAAGTGACCTTCCTGCAGATCTCGCATGTGACACCTCATCCTTTGCAGACGACACAAATTCTATGTGCAGAGCAAGTGACCAATACCTACAAATGCAGAGCAATCTTGATAAAATTAAACAATGGACTATAACATGGCAGATGCCATTAAGCAAATCTAAGTGCTTTGTTCTTCACTTAGGAAGAATTAATCCCCAATCATAGGTACACTATAGGAAACACTGAGGTGACTCCAGTCGAAAAACAGAAAAATCTAGGCTTAATAGTCACAAAAGACCTCAAATGGGAGTGTCACATCTCAACAACTGTTAAAAAAGTGAACACCTTGATTTACCTTATAAGAAAGTCATTTAAAAACCTATCTAGTGATATGATACTTAAGCTTTACAAGACATACATAAGACCAAAACTAGAATATATGCAAAGTATATAGTCCTTATTATGTCAAAGATATAGATCTTCTAGAGAAAGTTCAGCGAATGGTAACTAAAATCCCTTCAGAGCTCAACGAGATCTTTCTTATCAAGAACGGTTTACAGCGCCTTATAATAATGATAAATAAAACAAAAACTATTAACATCATAAAAGTATTTATTTTTTTGGCAAATAATTCGATATATAAATAAACCTAAAGACTATAAGTAACAGATTCGAGCTTACAGATTCACGTTTTCTATTTTTGTGTGGGCGTGTGTGCGAAGTGAAGCAAAATCACAATTTTGCGAAAAATATTCCTAATCTAAATTCTAAAATCACATTTAGGTACAAGGGAGGCCCCATCATATTATGTCAAGCTTAGGCCAAAAATCTTTTAAAGAAGAAATTTTCAAAGATTGAATACTATATAGTACAAAATATTGTCTTTATAGATTCCAAGTCAATTTAAAGTAACTAAAATTACCATCACATTTTTAGAATAATTATCCTAAGCAACACTCATACTCATCATAAACTTTCCTTGATGAAAATGGTAAAAAAAAAACAAAGGCTAGAATGACTCTTTAGTAAACTCAAAATATTCTTTAGGAACTTTTGAATTGACCACCGCATTCCTCTAACTATAAATTTTCGCTAAAACTTAACACTAATTCAATTAGCTAACTTTAAAACTAATGATAAGTGAAGAAGAGTCTACATTATTGAGTGAAACGACAACAAGAGACTGATTAATTTATAGCCAGTAAAAAACTAAGAATAGATTTGGCAACAAAGTTAATAATCCATAAGATCACTTACTTCTAAGTGCCTGAATTTGGAGGTTCTGGAGGATTTCGTTCTTCACCTGGAGCACTTTCGTTCTCCCCTTCAGCTTCCTGCATCTGTTCTAACCCTTGAGCTATCAAAAAATCAATTATCCTATAATCCTTGCCAGTTTCCGTATTGGCTATCCACAACGGTAACCATTTGTTAGCCAAAAGCCATTTCATCGAAACCTTACTAATTCTTCCTGTGTGGTCAGAAGTCCCATAAAGACTCTCGATACCGTAATGATTACTATTGATGCTTCCACAAGAAGAGGATAAATGGCGCTCAATGCGACCGATACCGTGACCAATTATATCTATTCTGCCATAAGTGTTTCCAATTCTACCATAGGTGCTGTTGCTGCAACTTGGTAAATTCGGATCGTAGATTGGTTCACTCAAGTCCTGGTCATTGGATGTACTCGGTTGCAAGCGTAAATCTTTTATAAATATATAATTTATAATTTAAAGGCAAATTATAAAAATAAGGACTTACTTTGTTGGTGCTGCATATCCTCAATAGTTTCATAAATATTTTCTTGATTGAGGCTTCTGTTGGCGTCAGGTTCTGGACAAATTGGTTCATAAATGTTTTCTTGAACTGCAGCTGTAGATGAAATCGAAGGAGGGCGCACGTCGTAACCTACAGCACCTTCTACACTACTAGTTTCATCACAATTGGCATACCTTAAAAGATTGCATTAGAAAAATTGTAGCAAGATTACTGAAGAAATTACCTGTTCATTGAACCAGTAGAATGAGTCCCACCGCCAACAGAATCCGATTTTCAAATGGACTTATCGATTACAGCTACGCCAGCGTAACTGCGTCCGATACTCATGCGACTAGGCAACATCGACCAGCAATCTGTTTTAGGATTATAAACTTCTACTGATGACAAGTTGCTGCAACCATCGTCACCTCCTACTACGTAGAGAAGGCCGCTTAAGGCCACAACTCCAGCGTTGCGTCGACATAAGGCCATGTCGCTTATAGGGGACCATTGTTCTTTTGTTGGGTCGTAGGCTTCGACTGATTTTCGGACTAGTGGACCATCGTGACCGCCCACAGCGTATAGGATTCCGTCAAGAACACCAACACCTGATATATTGAATTATTGAATATAATCGACAAAACATCTATTTTTCAATGGAACAAATGTTTCTAATAGTACCAGATTATAGTTGCATGCAAAACAGTATGGTTTGCTTTTTGAAGCTTAATGTACCCTACCAGGATAGCCAGTTGTTCTTATTATTTCAATTACATATAAAATCCCAAGGGGCAAACCACCTAGGAATTCTATGCTGAAGCTGTGGGCAATTTTGAGGAATTTGTGAAAAATTTGAAGGAATTTATGGGAAATTGAAGGAATGAATGAGAAATTGGGAGAATTTATTAGTTTTAACACTGAGCATGATGAAAATAGAAAAATACATTTCTTATCACAAACAGTTTTGGGGATTTCCAGATAATTTGTAATAGGCATTTGCAGGGGATTTGTGATCAGATTGGAGGAATTTTTGGGGACTGGAGGAATTTTAGAGAGGTTTGAGGAACTGTTTGCACAAATTCATGGGGGTGGTTTTCTCCATAGAACTTCTTGTTCACCTTGGTAAAAATCAAAGTAGAAAAACCTCAAAAAAACTTTGAAGCTTGAAGAGCTAAAAACTATCCAAGCTGCATTGAAATTGTTCACTAAAGGTTTGTAGAGAATTTCATTGGGTTTATTTCAAGCCTAATAACGTTAAGATCGGATTGAAATTAATAAAGATGTAAGGTAGAAGGTGGTTCAATGTCATTTTGGAAAAGATCAAGCTTCAAAAAACGACATTAGAGGACGCTTTATTTTTTTTGGGGAAAGTATTTAAAAGATTGACTTGAAATTTTGCAAGTGGATGGAGAAAAGATCAAAATTTGAGAAAAAATAAAATAAAATTTGCTTTTACGCATAAAAAATCATAAAAATCAAAGCCGAAAGGCTTTAAAGCCTTGCAGCTGCGAAATTACTAAAGCTACATTGAAAATATCCAAAAGAGATTTATAAAGGATTCAATTGGCTTCATTTCAAGCCTAAGTACGTTAAGATCGGATTGAAATTAACAAAGATGTGAGGTAAAATGTGGTTCAATGTCATTTTGGAAAAGATCAAGCTTCAAAAAACGACATTGGAGGACGCTTTATTCTTTTTTGGGGAAAGTATTTGAAAGATTGACTTGAAATTTTGCAAGTGGATGGAGAAAATATCAAAATTTGAGAAAAAATAAAATAAAATTTGCTTTTACGCACTCACCTTCATAAAAATCAAAGCCGAAAGGCTTTAAAGCTTTGCAGCTGCGAAATTACTGAAGCTACATTGAAAATACCCAATAGAGATTTATAAAGGATTCAATTGGCTTCATTTCAAGCGTAAGTATGTTAAGATCGGATTGAAATTAACAAAGATGTGAGGTAAAATGTGGTTCAATGTCATTTTGGAAAAGATCAAGCTTCAAAAAACGACATTGGAGGACGCTTTATTCTTTTTTGGGGAAAGTATTTGAAAGATTGACTTGAAATTTTGCAAGTGGATGGAGAAAAAATCAAAATTTGGGAAAAAAATAAAATAAAATTTGCTTTTACGCACTCACCCTCACAAAAATCAAAGCCGAAAGGCTTTAAAGCTTTTCAGCTGCGAAACTACTGAAGCTACATTGAAAATACCCAATAAGGATTTATAAAGGATTCAATTGGCTTGATTTCAAGCCTAAGTACGTTAAGATCGGATTGAAATTAACAAAGATGTGAGGCAAAATGTGGTTCAATGTCATTTTGTAAAAGATCAAGCTTCAAAAAACGACATTGGCGGACGCTTTATTTTTTTTGGGGGAAAGTATTTGAAAGATTGACTTAAAGTTTTGCAAGTAAATGGAGAAAGGATCAAAATTTGAGAAAAAATAAAATAAAATTTGCTTTTACGCACTCACCTTCACAAAAATCAAAGCCGAAAGGCTTTAAAGCTTTGCAGCTGCGAAACTACTGAAGCTACATTGAAAATACCCAATAGAGATTTATAAAGGATTCAATTGGCTTCATTTGAAGTTTGATAACGTTAAGATGATGAAATTAACAAAGATTAGAGGTAAAATGTGGTTCAATGTCATTTTGGAAAAAATCAAGCTTCAAAAAACGATGTTGAAGGACGTTTTATTGTTGTTTGTAGAAAATATTCCAGTTATTAGATTGAAATTTTGCAAGTGGATAGAGAAAAGATTGAAAGGACCATTCCCGCAGTATACGCAAATTTTGTATATGTCAGAATTGGCTAAATAAATTTTGTATGTAATGTAGATCACGCATTTCTGATTAAAAGTTACCATTACACAAATTCTGAAAAAATACTCCATGTAGCAAGCGTTTTACTTGCTACCTATGAAATTAATTTTCTCAAAAAGGAGTCATTTTTCAGGATTGGTGCAATGGTAACTTTTAATCAGAAAGGCGTGATCTACACAATTTCTGTATACTTTGGACAGGGTCTTAGGAAAAAATAGAAATTTCCTTCTGATTATTCACCTTCAAGGAGCAAACCACTTTTTTGCTAAAACTGTGGGAAATTTATAGAAATTTGTGGGGAATTTGGAGGAATTTGCGGGAAGTCCATTACAAGATTATTACAAAGTAAATGTAAACCATGAAATAAACACAAGATTTGCGACAGTAAACTATGTTGCATTACAAAATTCACACCACAATATGTCTAAATCATCAAGCTTTGTTGTTCTCAAGAATTGTGAATTTTCCATTTTTTCAATATAATTGCATTTAATGTTATTGGAGGGTATTTTCCATAAAACCCAGCAATCTGTTGCAGTAAATTCTTGAATTTACCAAGTAACAAACAGAACAAAGAAAGCAGCGCCTAACAACTGCAGACCACACAAGTACATTCTGAGTTCATAAGGTCGAAGCATGAAAAGTTTTGCTATGATGATGGGAAAAATTGAGTAAACATACCTGCTCCACTTCGTCTGAAACACATATCCGGCACTGGACTCCAAGTGTCATTTTCTGGGTTATAGCACTCCACTGAACTTAGGCATTGTCTTGAAGCACCATCATATCCACCAACCTAAATCCATCAAATAAAATTTGAAAAACTATAGAATTTTTTCAATAGGAATATGCATAATAACAAAAATTCTTACAGCAAACACAAGATTATTGAGTACTCCCACTCCAACACTACTACGTCTAGTGGACATGGAGGCAATCGCTCTCCATCTTTGTGGACCCAAATCAAAAACCTCCGCTGTATTTAGTCCAGTAGACCCATCAAATCCGCCAACAGCATAAATCTTATTATTCAACACCGCAACCCCCAATGTAGATCGTCTCGCTTCCATGGATTCACAACTAGACCAAATCTCAGGCCCGGCTTCGTAAATGTCCACAGTTTTGACTCTAAGTGAACCATTAAAACCACCAACAGCATAAACTCTGCGTCCAACCACAGCCAAACCAGCGCGACATCGTCTAGTAGGCATTTCAGCTGCTTGATACCATCTTTCCTCTTTGAAATCGTAACATTCGACGCTTCTGATAGCCTTTGGTGCCTGACCACCCACTACAAGAAGAAGTTTAGGAAGTCCAACAGGTTGTCTAGGTTTTGTCCTTGGTGTTCTGAAAGTAGTTTTAGTATCTCCTTTTAGCAAATGGAATTTGAGTGCTTCAATGTAGTAATCTTTGCATTGTAGGTCTGCTTTGAGCAAGGGCTCTTCTTCTACTCTTTGTACAAGGTAATCTTGGGACATTAGTGGAAGCCTGACATGTTCCATTAAGGAAGCTAAATGTTTCTGGCGAGTTTCTGTGTCATGATGTACCCAGGCAATTACACATTCGAAAACCTATAAAAATCATGTAAATATGTACTTCTGAAAAAATAACTTCAAAATTTATACCTTTTCTTCAGAAGGAACAGTTAATCTGTCACTACTAATAAGCTTGGATACTTGCTGTTGAGATAAAGTCAAAAATTCTTCACATTCAACTACTTCCCTGCATGAAAAAACTTGTTGAAATATTTATATTTGTATAAATTGTTACTTACGGAAAATTCAATTCGACATAATTTTCAGCATTATTAAGCAATTCCAAGCATCCATGTAGATCAGCAAATGCTCTTATACCCAAACAATTTGTAGGATGTAGTTGAGCTTGAAGAAAATCGCAACAGGCATCTCTGACATCAGTGAGTTGAAGCAAATGAGCTGCAGGTAGTAACACTTGTACATTTTCTTCTGTTACTTGTATCTCTGAAGTGTATGAGTATTCTACTAGTAGCTCGAGAGCAAAATGGTCAACTTCCTGGATTACTATTCTATCCTGTCTGCTTTCTTCGAAGCTTAAAAACATTGCATAGAAATAAGGAGAGCATGCTGCCAGTACCATTTTGTGAGCTGGAATTTCTACTGAGTTAGCCACCAGAGTTACATCACATAAGAGCTTTTGTCTGTAATTAAAATTGCTTAAAACCTTAAGTAGTTTTTAAATTTGTTTTTGCTTACTTTCTCATGTTATTCATTATTTCAAAAGCCTTTTGAGTGTGTAAGAGATTCTTATAAGGACTCCTTTCTCTATATGAGCATTCTTGTGGAATTTGCTTTTGGGAACTTTCGTCCAAAGAGTTCTGGCTGGCACATCTTGTTAATGTGAGTGTGCTACAATAATTTTGTTTTATTTAGGGTATATGGTATAGAGTATAGAGCTACTAGAGGGCATCTGACTAATGCCCCTGATCTCTATATTTATTTTTATTAGTAGTTTTTGTTATACTCACCTTGCCCCGAGCCTTGCTCGCCTTTCCATGGGACCCTCCAAATTGTTCGGTTCCATTTTCGTTGTCCTTTACGAAAAACCTAATTCTCACAAGATGAACTAAGTCGGAAAATGTTTTCTAAGGGCAAACTCCATAAAATTGTTTCAAAAAGGTCAAAATAAACAAATTTTTGATTACAAAAGTTTACAATACAAATTCTACAGGGAACAGATGACTTTTTGTGCGTTTTGCGCGTGCCCAATAACGATGTTGCCAAATGGATGTTTTGATCTGATTTCTGACAGAATACCGAACTCTTGTTAATTCGTGAAATTAGTGGAAAGCTGCCTCAGTTTCACCATTTCTCAAAGAATTGCAATTGAAACTTTTCTGACTACTCTTCCATTCACAAATACGAGAGATATTTCTACTTGCCTACCAATTTTTCTTAAATTTTCTCTTTCATTTTACTACCTACTTTTTTTGGCTCAATTTTTGTCTATTCCTGGCTCCTGAGATATCTTATCTTCTTGTTGTTTTCTCTAAATATAAACTCAGAATTCTAGGTTGAGAATACTAATGAACATTCAAGAGCCTGGAAGTAAATTTATGTTTTTTTACTATTTTTTTTTTTCTTTAATTTCAACTCCTTCATCATGTCTCAACTTTTGTCTATTCTCGGCTCTTGAATTTTTGTTTCTTTCAATATTTCCCAAATAAAAGAATAATGCAAGAGATATTTCTACTCATGTCTACCAATTTCTCTTCAATTATCTCCTTCATTTTTCAATTTTTTTGTATCAATTTTTGTCCATTCCTGGCTCGTTGAGTTTTTGTCGTCTTCTTTGTTCTTCCACTAAGTATACATAAACTTAAAATTCTGGGTTGGAATAGAAAATTGATGTTATTTATGTATTTTTTTCTTTAATTTCCATTTTTGTGATGGAAACATAATCACACCATTATTCAATACGTATGAGTCTCAAGTTCCGTTTCATCCAGATTACCAGAAAAAAAGTCAAAAATTAGACCATTGACTATATGTAAGGCAGAAATATCACTAATAAGTGTTTCTATTGGATTGTAAAAATCATAGCTCCGTTATGTTGGGCCATTTGTCCATAAAATTTTAGTTTTAATAAATAAAAAAATATCTGGTTCCTCCAGGTTTCCCAGATTTCCGGAAAAAAATCAAGAATTAGAACACTGACTCTAAGGCAGAAATATCACTCAGTGTGTTTTATCGGATTGTAAAAATCATAGCTCCGATATTTTGGGCTATTTTTCCATAAAATTTTAGTATGTTGAAGCTGGAAAGCTCCTTTAATGAATAAAAAAATATATATTTTTTTTTGGTTTCCCAGATTTCCAGAAAAAAATATAAAAAATTAGGCCACTGACTCTAAGGCAGAAATATCACTAAGTGTTTTTATCGGATTATAAAAATCATAACAACTCCGTTATGTTGAGCTATTTTTCCATAAAATTTTAGTATGTTGAAGCTGGAAGCTTCCTTATTAAATTAAAAAATATTTGGTTCCTCCAAGTTTCCCAGATTTCCGGAAAAAAAATTAAGAATTAAATCATTGACTCTAAGGCAGAAATATCACTAAGTGTGTTTATCGAATTTTAAAAATCATAGCTCTGTTATCATGGGCTATTTTTCCATAAAACTTTGGGATATTGAAGCTGAAAGCTTCTTTGATAAATAAAAAAATTATTGGTTCCTCCAGGTTTCCTTGATTTTCGGAAAAAAAAATCAAGAATTAGACCATTGACTTTAAGGCAGAAATATCACTAAGTGTGTTTATTGGATTTTAAAAATCATAGCTCTCTCATCCGGCTATTTTTCCATAAAATTTTAGTATGTTGAAGCTGGAAGCTTCTTTCATAAATAAAAAAATTATTGGTTCCTCCAGGTTTCCCAGATTTTCAAAAAAAAACATCAAAAATTAGACCAATGACTGTAAGGCCGAAATATCACTCAATGTGTTTATCGGATTGTAAAAATCATAGCTCCGATATTTTGGGTTATTTTTTCATAAAGTTTCAGTATGTTGAAGCTGGAACCTTCTTTAATAAATAAAAAAAATATTTGGTTCCCCCAGGTTTCCTAGATTTCCAGAAAAAACATCAAAAATTAGACCATTGACTCTAAGGCAGAATTATCACACAATGTGTTTTATCGGATTGTAAAAATCCTAACTCCGTTATCCTAGGTGATTTTTCCATATAATTTTGGTATATTGACGCCATAAGCTTTTTTAATAAATAAAAAAATATTTGATTTCTCCAAGTTTCCCAGATTTCCAGAAAAAAAATCAAAAATTAGACCATTGACTGTAAGGCAGAAATATCACTCAGTGTGTTTATCGGATTATAAAAATCATAGCTCCATTATTTTGGGCTATTTTTCCAAAAAAATTTTAATGTGAAGCTGGAAGCTTTCTTAATAAGTAAAAAATTATCTGGTTTCTCCAGGCTAGCCAAATTTCCAAACAAAAAATCAAAAATTACACCATTTTGTTTCTCCAGGTTTTCGAGATTTCCGGAAAAAAAATCAAAAATTAGATCATTGACTCTAAAGCAGAAATATCACTAAATATGTTTTATCGGATTTTAAAAATCATAGCTCCGTTATTTTGGGCTATTTTTCCATAAAATTTTAATGCGTTGAAGCTGGAAGCTTCCTTAATAAATAAAAAATTATCTGGTTTCTCCAGGCTAGCCAAATTTCCAGAAAAAAAATCAAAAATTACACCATTGACACCACTGGCGTAACTAGTCATCTGACCTGGGGGGGGCTGCCAGGCCCAGCAGAGGCGCCGATTTTTGAAAGTCCTCATAGGTGCAAGATAATATTTTTATAAATTTGTTTATAGGGGAAGGGGGAAGCTCGCCGTAGGCGAAAAATTTTTCCCGGATGCCACGCCTAAAAACGTCTATTTTATAGTGTATATATTTTTGTATTTTTGTTTACGAGCGTGCGAAAAGTGCTTTTTTCTGTACGAATTTTAGGCCATGAAAATATCACATCATTATCAAAATAATTATGCCTGGTACTTTTATGTCCTAAAATGCCTTATGTCCCGATTATTGTCAAAGAATAGAGAAGGAGAATAGCAACATTAGCAATATAAAGTAATAGAGCATAGAATTGACCACAAATAACGAAAGGACAGAATACTCCCTAATCTAAGACTAATACCACTTGTATAATTTATTATTCAAAGTTGTGTAAATTTAAATAACATATATGATACTAATACTACCACACGGAACGGAATGACCATTAAATACGTTTGTACTTTCGCAGTCCCTACGAGAGCTCCGAGCACCCATGAGAAGTTGCTCATGGGAGCACCTGCCCCAATGCCCCCATGTAGTTGGCAATTATAGGCGATTAGCTGACTAAACCGGGCTCAAATCACTTACCTAGCTAACCCAGCTTATCAGCCACTGTATAGTATATATCAGCAACACCGATTCATAGATTCACAGGAAAAATATTTAGTCAAACTACCAACTAATCTGTTATATTGCTAATGCTAATTTAATGGCTTTGGTATACTACAGTGGCGCACCCAAGGGGGGGGGGGGTTAAAACCCCCTCCGAAATTTAGCACTGGTACAAAGAATTTTCCGGTAAAAATATTTTTTTTTTTGCGATTTTGGTTAATAGGTAGGTACCTACAAACTTTCCATTTTACATTAAAAAAAAACTAAAAACATGGAAATCTGGAAGCCTGGCCCTACATCGTACATCGCGATGGCATGTAATATTGACAGTTGAGTTGTAAAGGGCGCTACTGTACTTGAAGCTTTTCAAATTTTGGCGCGTAAATAATCCAGTGTAATTTAAACATCAGAGGCTTTTTCTCGCGTCTCAAATGTTTCAAAACATTTTTCAAAACTGGTTTAAGTAATGTCACTATGACGTCACACGCGAGAATGTGCACTTGGCCAATCATAAAACTAGTACGCCTTCTCTCATTATATGGTATTGTGTAAATCGACCTTTCTTATCACTTCAAAACTGATAAAAAGAGTCAAGTCAGTGTCATATTTAAACCAATCATAACATAAAAACATGTTGCGTTTACTTTTGTTCAGCTTTGACATTGACAAAAACTATCTGATCTAGGTTTTTCAGAAGAGACTTTTTGTTGTTAAGCCTGACTAACATTAGGCAAATTTAGAAAATATATATTGCCTGTACCAGTTTTAGGTTTGGCCAAGTGTACTGTTTCAAAACAGTTTTGAACCAGTTTCAAAAAAGTGGACGAGAGAAAACGTCTCAAAAGTTTAGTTTGACGTGTGGTTTTAAGACAAGCTGACGCTGACACTTTTAAAAATATTCGCTAAGGGCAACTGAACGTTTTGGAAGACATTTTAACTAATTCACTGTCCATTGTTAGTATTAAGTAATCTTTCCTTCTACTCAGTTAAATGGTTTAAAACTATTGACATTTACCGCCAAAATTGAAAGCACTCCAGTTCACTCGCGCCCTCTACAAAATTTTAGGGAACTTACTGGGGCCGAGTTCGTTTTTGTCATCTTTTTCGTCGATTTGCTCCGAAATTCTGACAGGCACGTGATTTATAAACTGAAACTGTCTTATCCAGTCACGTGCCTGTCAAAATTTCGGAGCAAATCGACGAAAAAGATGACAAAAACGAACTCGGCCTGGATATTTGCTGCCATTCGCAGTCATAGTAAAGGTGTATTTCCACCAAGCGCGCAAAACGATTGCAAATTTGCGAATGATCAGCAATGTTTATGATTTGTGAACATTATTTGATTGGTGGAGACGGAATTTAGAATGTTTGCAACCATGTAGGAAACTCTCTGTCTTTTAAATACACATGATTATGAAAACAGTGGCGGTGACAATAGCTTTTTCTTGCGCAGCTATTTTGCTGCGAGCGTTCGTTTTAATTGTTTTCTGATGGAAATCACCTACAAAAAGTTATTTTTCGAAGGCTTAAAATAAACGTTTTTGGGCGTGACACCCGAAAAAAAATTCTTCTTATGGCGGCCGGCCTACGGCAGCGCCTGTCTGCGATGAACCTTGATCATTATGGAAACACCCCCCCCCAAATGAAAAACCTGAGTGCGCCACTGCTGGTATGCTATATCACTTCTGCACATTGCAATTTGCACTGACCTTTGGGTGGCACAATGGTACACAGCCCGTCCGTTGGTGGATGGGAGGATCGGATAGAGTCGATCGGGATCGCCGCGCATTACCGTTCAAATTTAGTACGTAATAACATAAAATTATAATAGGTAACGTAGCTTTCATAAAATACCAAATTAATAAAGTTTTTTTCTGGGGGGGGCTAGCGACGTCTGGGGGGGGGGGGCCGGCACCCCAGGCCCCCCTGTAGTTACGCCACTGATTGACACTAAGGCAGAAATATCACTAAGTATGTTTTATCGGATTGTAAAAAATCATAGTTCCATTATCCTAGGCTATTTTTCCATAAAATTTTAGTATATCGAAGCTGAAAGCTTCTTTAATAAATATAGAATATTTGGTCACTCCAGGTTTCCCATATTACCAGAAAAAAAAGCAAAAATTAGACCATTGACTCTAAGGCAGAAATATCACTGTGTGTTTATTGGATTGTAAAAATCCTAGCTCCGTTATGTTGGGCTATTTTTCCATAAAATTTTACTATGTTGAAGCTGAAAGCTCCTTCAATAAACAAAGAAAGATTTGGTTCCTCTAGGTTCTTCAGATTTCCAGAAAAAAAATCAAAAATTAGACCATTGACTGTAAAGCAGAAATATCACTCAGTGTGTTTATCGTATTGGATTGTAAAAATCCTAGCTCCGTTATTTTGGGCTGTTTTTCCATAAACTTTTTGTAAGTTGAAGCTGAAAGTTTCTTTAATAAATAAAAAAAAATATTTGGTTTCTCCAGGTTTTCGAGATTCCCAGAAAAAAAAATCAAAAATTAGATCATTGACTCTAAAGCATAAATATCACTAAGTATGTTTTATCGGATTTTAAAAATCACATCTCCGTTATCCTCGGCTGTTTTTTCATAAAATTTTAGTATGTTGAAGCTTTCTTAATAAACGGAAAAAAATCTGGTTTCTCCAAATTTTCCAGATTTCCAAAAAAATATCAAAAATTAGACCATTGACTCTAAGGTAGTAATATCACTTAGTGTGTTTATCGGATTGTATAAATCATAGCTTCAGTATTTCGAGCTATTTTCTCAATATGTTGAAGCTGAAAGCTTCTTTAATAAATGAAAAAATATTCGTTCCTTCAGGTTTACCAGATTTCCAGAAAAAAAATCAAAAATTAGACCATTGATTCTAAGGCAGAAATATCACTAAGTGTGTTTTACTGGACTGTGGAAATCATGGCGACGTCATCTTGAGATATTTTTCCATAAAATTTTAATATGTTGAAGCTGGAAGCTTCTTTAATAAACCAAAAAACATTTGGTTCCTCCAAGTTTCCCAGATTTCCGGAAAAAAAGTCAAGAATTAGACCATGGACTCTAAGGCAGAAATATCACTCAGTGTGTTTAACGGATTGTAAGAATCATAGCTCCGATATTTTGGGCTATTTTTCCATAAATTTCAACTCATTTTTACTTATAGTTAGGGGCTCTAACTCCGAAAGGGGGGGGCTATTAACCAAAAAAAAGAACGAATGACTAGCACAACAAAACGATAAATAAATTCGCATCCGATTCCCCAAAAACGAACGCGTCCCATTATTTGGAATTATGCCTACCTTAATCCACACCTTGGGGCTCGTGGGGAAATTCGTTTGGATTTTCGAGCCAAGCGCGGCTCGAAATGATTTGCGAATTTGTTTTCTTTCCGCCCTAATTAAAGGGTTTGGAAATGGCCTGGGCGAAAAGTGTCTGAATTAATTAGAGCTTCCGCGAGGCAGGTGAGATAAATTTTCGCTCCTTGCCTTTGTTAACGTTTGATAAAAAAAAAGGGAATCTTACAGGCTCGTTTAATTTACAAAAAAAAACTTTTTGGATCGTCCAAGTTACGCACCCCTTTTCTTGATGTTTTTTCGATAATGCGATTTAAGTTGTTTTTCTTTTTTGCTTG